CTTTCATGTATTTAGTTAACAGTAAATAAAATAAAACAGCAAGTACCCTGTGTTAATTCTTTGTCGCAAAACACCACAACTATGATATTTAAGAGGGAAATTAAAGCAGAGTTGAAGGATAATATTCAGCGGTGCATCAGTGCTAGCCCTAATGATGTTACTAGAGCAATGGGGGGAAAGTGGCAATTTGCTGCTGAAATTCAGCAGCAAATCACTGCTTTCCCCCATTCTGTAGCAGTCATGACTTAATGTTGCTCGCGTGTTGGTTTGCAATGGCACAACATCATTAGCACTAGCACTGGGTCCCAACTGGATACTACCCACTGTGATTTACCGTCATGTTGGAATTTTTATTGCAGCATTTGTAAAATTTAAGGACAACAGATTGTACTTCCTTTATGTTGTTTATTTTTGTGGGGCAGAGGAAGGTACTGGCAACTATTGGCAGGCTAATACATATTAGCAACCTGAAGAACTGTGAATAAAATGCTCACAGTCGCTCATCTACAAGCAACTTGGAAATTGTCAGGCTTGTCTGATAGGACATTTGCTGTTGATGCCCATTCGTGGTTGCCAGTGAAACGGAGGAGGACAGCCTGCGCACAGGTGAGCTTGGTGGAAAGCCACTGATCCGGACAGTGAAAAGTCAGCCTAAGTGTGATGCATCCTCTGGTCACCCGCTGAATGATCACAGCGACATAGCTAAGTCACGGTGACATGCTGAAGCTGCAGTGACTCTGTATTCCCATTAGTAAATCATGGAAGCTTTGAATGGCCCACTGGGAGGGGAGCTTTGCTCCAGTGGCCGTGAGGAGCAGCAGCAACTGGGGCCAAGGTGGTCCTTCTGTCTGGGGGCGGGAGAGTGTCCTGCCCAAGGGCCCCATCAGGCTGGTGCTGGTGCTGCCCTCCCACTTCCTCCACATCAGGGAAAAGAGAACTGGCCAGCTGATGAAACACATCTGAGAGGTGCCGAAGTGTAGCAAGGCTTCCATGCAGCGGGCACGGCCTCCATCAGCACGGGCATTACTGCAAGTGCTAATTATATTGGCTTGTTGAGCACTAAGTCCCAAGGAAGCGAAGCGTGGACCATTCCGAGTGCGTTCACGCCGCTGCCTGGTTTGCTGCACTGCTGGGGGCATTCAGCATTTAACATGATTAAGTTTCTGTTTTATATAAGCGCTCTCGTTAGGGATGCATGGCAGGCTACATGTCTGCTGGCAAGCTCTCTGGCCACATTTTCCAGCAAGACACACTACACAGGGACTGAAGTTTTATCCCAGCACCAAGCATATTCTAGAATTTCGAACAGGGAGAGGCAACATGTGCACACAGCCCCAGATATTTTGGCCCACATCTCCCATAATCCTTCACCATTGGCTATGCTGGATAGGGGTAGGCAAATCGCCCACCCAAAGGGAGTCACACTCTGGTGTGTGTGTGTGTTTTCAGAATGAGGGATATGAGGGATGTGACTCCATGAAGGGTGAAAGAAAAGAACTCCCGACAGCTTTGTATCTGCTACAAAGGGCACACTTCTGGGTCAAAATTGAGAAGTGGGTCTTGTAATTTGGCAGCGAGCTTCATGGCTGCATGGGACTAGTATCCTACCCTCCCGAGTGCCAGTCCAGCTCTCTAACCACTAAGCCACTGTGTCTCTCTTGAGTTCTCTGGTGCTTGATTTCTCAGAATTGTACATCCTTTGAACTCTGAGGTGATTCTGCCTTTTTTTAGTGCTTAAACTGATTCTCTCCGTGGCGTGATTGTCGCCAAGGACCAGTTGAGTGGAGTAGTGGGAGGAAGGGGAGAGAGAGTTCTTTGACAGATGCCAATTTGGCAAACATCGATATACAGCACTTCTATTTGAAGACAGAGAGCCTACTCACCCCAGCTGCTAGAGACAGAATTGACATAAGGTGTTTAGAAAGCTTTCAGATAGGAATGGGTTTGAAGGCTTTTGATTTCAATTTGTGAAGAGCAAATTGTTGTAATAGCTTAAGAAGGTTCCTATTGGGAAAGCATAATGGGGATTCAAGTTCTGGAGACAAAGCGATAAAATATGAGTGGTTACAAAAACCATGTGAATGGTTACTCAAAAGAGAGGAAAGCAGTCAGCTGTTGTATGTAGACACCAAAAGAGTAGCTTAAGAGTTGTTTTGAAATAAGCATGATGTAACGCTGTCATGACGACAGTGATTGGGAAGGTATTATTTGAATTATATGGTTAAAGATGTTCTTTGTAGTGGTGCCTTGGAAGAGGGAAAGTTTCTGGGATGGAGAAGGTTTGAAGTATCTGCCAGAATTATTGATGCAAGGTTGATTTGTGTGCATAGTTCAATAAAAAGCCACAAGTAACAGTGACTTGTCACGCGAGTGTGTATTTACATTGGAGGAATGAGGTAATGGCACTAACGTGCTGAAAAGGGCAATTTCAGTGTTGCAATCAGGCCATTTCCATGCCCTGGAAAATAATAATGACATATCTATGACTAGGGAAGGAAGGGTTGGCAAAATTCTGCTTCCTGCACATTTTGAGAATTTTTAAGGAATTGTTGCTCTATCCTCAATGCATTGGTGGATTAAGAATGTACACAAATGCAGTCCTTTGCATGTGCTTAAATTTATGGTTCAGTCAACCCAAAATGCATGTTTCCATGCTTTAGCCTGTGGTAGCTATGGCCAGATTGAGGCTTGGGAGCCACACGTGTCTCTCTGAGCTTATTTTGTAGCTTGCTGGTTGCTGTCCGCAGGCGCCCACTTGCCACCCTTTGCCAGCACCCACATGCGCCCGCCTGACACTCATGGCCCATTGTTTGCCACCCACAGATGCCTGCTTGCAGCTCTCAAACATCTGATATTTACCATATGTGGCTCTTCCACTGAGCAAACCCAGCCATCCCTTGGCCTAGGAGATGATTTGCACAAGTTTTGTTATTTTGTACATTGGTGGGGGGCAAATTGCACAAAAATACACACTGCTAAAAAGTGGTTTGCAAGCCTCACAGAATCAACCCAACCCTGGAAAGCTGGCCTGCTGTGGAATCCACAGGACTAACTTGGAGAAATCTAAATGAAATCATTTGAGGTCATTATAGAATCCTCTACCTATGTCACATCTGTGTTTAATTTGCCGGTCACATACCTTGAAAGGATTATCCTAATACTACAGTGACCAATGGATGACATAATGCATCTGGTGAATTGAGAAATGAAGACGAGGGTTTTTAGTTGTTGAGGCAAAATAACTTGGAGCAATTTAGATATTATTTATGGAATTATGTACAGATGCAAATTATTTTTCTGACTGACATGCATACATGCATACATGCATATAATCTCTTTCACAGCACTAAATGAAGAGCAAATAAAAATGAGCCAAAAGAAGTACTTTTGTAAACTTAAGAATGGTTAACTTAAGAAATTTCCTGCCATGAAATGTGGTGATGCTGGCTATAGACTTAAATCACTTTTTAAAGATTAAACATATTCATGGAGAGCAAACCTCATGGCTGCTGATCATGTTGATACCCAAGAATGGAACATTGTGCTCAGAGGCAATAAGGCAATATACCCGTAATTGCTAAGCCTAGCAACGGACAACAAGGGATTACTGTCTTGTGCTCACTTTTGAGCATCTAAAGGGCATCTGCCTGCCAGGTCACAGAGGAAGATGAAATGCTGGCATAAATCACAGATCTTTATTCTGATCCAACAAGACAATTATTCTTCCATTGTTCTAGCCCACGATAAATCCCAAGAGTTGTCTCTGTATTTCTTAGAACTGAAATAAAGTTAATGTTTAGCAGTAGTTTTGATAGCTCCTGATGCAAAGGTCAAATTTTCAAGTACACTAGGTTCCTTGGGAAATGTAAGGTCCAATTTTGTAGTAGTCCCCGAACCATGAAATTGGCATTTGATCTGCAAAATCAGCATTCAGATATGAGCACTGGAGAATGATAGCTGAGTAACAGCAAAATCCCTCCTTTTTCATACTGATTGTATTCCATGAAATATTGTTATTCTGTTTAATAGCCTTTTTATGTCAGACTTCCAGACAGGTGTTAAAAACTGAGGAACTTAAACAGTATATGCACATGTACTGAGTAAAAGGAAACAAGCCATTTTCTGCATATATTTTCCAAGATGCATGTCAGACCCACATCCTGTGAAGTTTGAAGGCATGGTGAAGGAAGACAAAGGTGAAATTGGTCCATAGTCAGCAAGGAGAAGGTCAACAGGGACTCCTTGTTTCTAAAACCAGAGAGAAAACATAACAGTTTCAGAGCTGATAAAATATACATTTGCAGAGAACCCTAAAATCTGAGCCTGTGTTTATGTGTTTTTGGGAGGGGGTTCTACTTTTGACTTCAAGCTTCTAAAGCTTCCTTCAGAAGCCCTTAGCAAGTTCTGGGTTGTCATAAGATACCATTTGCTTTAGCTGTCCATTTGAGAATTCTAATGACGTTCTGAGATATCCAGGATGTGTTTCTTGTCTCTTGGCCAGCAGTAGGTACTTGGTGGTGCCCTTCCCTTCCCAATATCTCCATCCTTCTCCATTTCCTTTAACATTACTACCAAGTCATTCATCATGGTAATTGTGATCTTGGAATAGAGTAGTTTTTAGGACATTATTCATTAATTTATAATCATCTGCCAATAACCAATGCTTTCTAATACATTCTCTGAATAATTTATTCTCTCCAGAAGTGAATGAATAAGAGGTGGGGAAAGGCTAAGGACGGGCAAGTGGAAGATCACAACACAAAGGGCCAGGGGCACCAGCAGATGCTCTGTGTCACTGAATGATGCAATTGATGGCAGGCTCTTCTCATGGGCCAGCCAGAGATGCAATATTAGCAGACACGTTACAGAACCCTTAAGCCCAGTCCTCCTCCTGAAGCAATAACCAGGGAATCTCTTTTGTTAAATTGTGCTTACATGCTGTGGTGAGTTTTGGGTTTCTTTCTCATGACTGAATTGTGTTTTTCTTTCCTTTTCTTTAGAGCTGAGAAAACAGAAGTTCTGAGTGAAGATCTGTTGCAGGTACTGTGTCTTGTTTTCCTACACCTTCTGACCAGTAAACACTAAAATCATTTCATTGTTTAATAGTTTTCAATGTTCCGTGAAATAGAACACTGAAGTAGAATAAAACAGAAAACTAACCTTTCAACATGGCAGCTAATAGGGGCTTCTGTGTGCCAAGGATGAAGTAATTCCACATTTGCAGATCACCTTAAACTATGCCATGGTTTGGCCATACAGTGCAGGTTATTTGTGGAATAATTCATGGTGTGCCTGACAAATTATTGGACGCCCCAAGAACTGCGTTCCCTTTCCTTCGCCAGTCCTCAGGCAGGTATCCCAAGGTCCTTCGTGGCAGAACCTGTTTTCTTCCCGTTTCTGCTCTGCTTGCTGCCCTCTTTGTTTTTTGCTGCCCACTTTTGTTTGCTGCTTTCTTTTTCCTTTGCTGTTCTAGAACTTCAGAAGAGCTCAGTTAGGTGATATTTTTCCATCCCTCCCTCAAACTGTGCAGCTGTGTCCATAATTTTGGATTTTTATTTGTCAGTCTTTCACCAGAGTGCAAGAGCCTATTTGTGGCGGTCTGATACGTGCAGTCTTGCTTGGTCAATTTCCTTGTCTGATTCAGCTGTCAAAAAAGTGTGGCGAAGTAGAGTAGATAACAGATTGACAAGGCAAGCCTGCAAATAGTCTAATTTGCACACAGTTGCCAGGCACTAATTGCCTAGCTGTCAGTAGAAAAGCACTCGTAAAAGGGGAAAGCTGGACCAGAAGAGGCTCTAAAGGGGTGGCAGGAAGAACACAATATCTTTTTCTTATCAATGTGATTTCTGGTTTTTAGATATTCAACTGACAGCGCTCAGTGCCCTCTACCATTTCTGCACTTCCTAGCCCTCAAATGTATGCAAAGACCCCCTCCATGTATGGCTATTAAATGTGCATATATTTTTACTTTTTTACTTTTAATCACTGTTGTTGAGTTTCTCTAATTGCATTAGAAGGTCCAGGGGTTAATGTCTCCTCTTTCTGGAGTAGCTGGAGGCTCAAGAAAGTGTAGAAAAGGTAAAGAGCGGAGTTGAGAACTGTCAGTTCAGCAACACTTAAAAGCTAGAAGCTCACCTTGCCCAAGGGGAGATTCTGGCCCTATTCCCTTTAGTATGCATTTGCTGCTTTTCCCCTTTACTGGTGCTTTCCAGCTGTGCAACAACAACAACAGCTGTTGCTATTAGTTTCTGTACTGCCCACTAGCTGAAACTCTCTGGGCAGTTTAGAACAACACAAAAATACAGTATACAGACAACAATGAAAACACCATAAAGTTGCAATACCAAATTTAAAATAAACGTAAAAAGCTATAATAGCTTACACAAATTAATTCTTAAGACTTGTTCAAGGAGCTGACAGGAGTCGCACTGTGTTGAGCTAATAGCACAATTAGTGGCAGGGGCTGAAAAGAAAAGTAGACAAACCAGGGGCAGTCGCCCCAAAGTGCTGCCTGGTTAACAGTGACGGGGCTGTCACTGGCAGTGGCATGGCTGAATTATTGTGTGGTGTGTGTGTGTGTGGGGGGGGTTGTTGCACTTGTTGTGGGGTCTGCTAGCCAGTCTCTGCAATCTCTGACAAAATTGCTGTCAGGTTCAGATGACAGAACAACTCACCATGGGCTGAACAACCCCTAGAACAAGGCAAAGGTCGTCAAGGAGGTTTTTTGTTGAAAAATAGGCCACCCTGTGGGAAACGGTCTGGGTTTGAATGACCCACGAACCTACCTTGGCTATCGGAGTTAGTCATGTTGGGAGCCAGGTCAGTGCAGGGCTTAGAGCTGGTGTTCTGAAGGAAGGAGATGAGGAAGGAAGGACTGTTGAGCTGCAACTCAGCTCAAGGTTCATTTTTTTAAAGCTCAGCTCTTCTCGAGGTTCATTTTTTTTAAAGCTTCAAGCTCTACTGTTTACCTATTGGAAACTCATTCTGGATTGAACTACATGGCTTTGTAGTTAGGTAATACCAAATAAAATGTTTTAAATTTAAAAAATCAATGCATAGATGCTTTTTCCTGAGCTTAGACATCATGGAAACCTCTCTCCTGCCTTCCCTCTGAATATTTTTAATATTTTTAATATTTACATGCTCAAAAGATGTTCATAACATAGGGCTCCAGGGAACTGTACTACTTCAGAAGGGAAGTATGAGGATTCACACAATAAAACATGCCTATGCATTTTTTGAATATGAATATGAAAACATTCTGCATTTTATGCAGAATATGAAAGCATTCTGCACTCCTGGAAAAGCCAAGCACATCCCTTTTCTCTGAAGTAAATAATATGAGGCTGTCTTTTTTTTCTTTTCTGTTTTTTAAATTACGGGCTCTTGTATGCATGGAAGAAGGGGGTGAGTTCTGCTGTCCACACACAATCATGTTCATTGTGTGTACCTCTGAGTGTCATTGTGACCACCCCCCACAATGTTGTGACCATCCCCACAATGTAAGAGACACAGGAAGGATCAGGGCAAAGTCTTCCTCTTCTAATGAGACAGGAAATGAAAACACGTGCTTCAGACAATAGCAGCAAGGCAAACTGAAGCTATGGAATATTCTACTAAGAATAATAGTAGAATAACAATAAACTGGCGCTATGGAATAATATCTACTAAGTCCACATGTCGAACTTCAGGGGCCCAATTCTCAGTGCAGAAGTGAGAAAACCCATTCCTGCTCATGTAAGGGACCAGGCAGAGCCCTTAAATATATGCTTTGACTCTAAAAATATTACAGGCAGGGACTTTGTTCCTTTGAGTAATCTGTAATAGTGCCCATCCATAGACAAAGCTGCCCTTGGTCAACAGAGTGATTTCCTTTTTCTGTGGATGGCTTACCTACAGGTGACTTATGGTATGGCTTTTTGCAATGCAGGTAAACCCAAGAGATTCCTAGCTTGTAATATTAATAGTAACTTCCGAATTTGGCTCCATTTTTCTGTGCTGAAGGCCAGAAGACTTTATATGAAGTTGCTGTTTTATTGCTTCCCCCGCAATAAAGAGTTCTGGTATTACTTTCTCAGTCTTTCCCCAAGCCTGCAAATTCCAGGGTTCAAATGGTGTTTGTATTTCTGTTTAGTGGTGTATCTGGCTAAGCTCTGTCCAGCGTCTCCAGTTGTGGGACTGAACGTTTGCCAGGGCAATCTGCAGTCGCAGTCTCTGCCTTCTTCTCTTCCTGGGGCCTCAATGCCAAGACAGCTAGCAGAGTGGTGAAAGTGCCCCTTTTGAAAACAGGAAATAGGGTAACATAGTGTCAGTTAGAGCTGGCATTTGTGTCAAACGGAATCTAAGAATAGGTGAGTCTAGAAGGCATTAATTTCATTAGATAAATAGCAAAGTATTGTGCCATTTTCAAGAGTCTCAGGAGACCAGCAACTTTCAGGAATTCGCCCACGCATCGGGCTGAACCACATGGAGGGCCTTGCTTCCCCACAGTAAACGCACTGAAGTCTGTGCCTCCCAGTCACCGGTGGTTTTCTGATATTTGCCACTGTGCCGAGTGTCTATGTGGCTGTACGGCATTCTTCTGCCTGAGCTTTGTGTTCCTGTTAAGAGATGCCTGCACTTAGAACCAGTGACCTCTAGAAAAACCCAGGCAAGCTTTCCATGCGCACCTTGTCACAGCAAAAGGCACCTGCTGCGTTGCGCTGCCCCCTGGGTGGATATCAGTGTGCCTGTCTGGGAGGGCACTGCTCAGGGGGCTTCTCAGGGAGGATGTCCTGCATCCCAGCATGAGCAGGCACATGTGGAAATCTCACACAGACAAGGGCTTTTCCCTGGCCTGCTTCCTACATAAAATAGTCCTCTAGTGAGGGGAGAGGGAATGCAGCCATCCCTTTCTGGAGAGGAAGTGGACCTGCTCTTAAATGAACACTTTGTGAATGTGTTCACATTGGCTTGCTGGAGAGACTTGTGCCTTGCTATCAGGTTAACCCAGGATGCGATTTAAAAAGGAATTTCTACATATGAACATCATTGACTATGTGGAATGGTTGACAGTGATCAAAAAATAGGATCGGACTGGCCAACTGAACAATGCAAAATCTGTCATGCAGCTGAAGATGCAAAGTGTCAATTCTCTCTTGACATGCTTGTATTCTAGTGTGGAAACCTGGAATAACAAAGCTTTCATGCATCATTTTCACTGATGGCATCTTTGAAATACTTGTGGGGTGACCATGTTTTACACTTGCTAAATTTTCAGTGCATGCACCTTTCACACTTGACAAGGTGTGCATATATGGGATTTTATATCCACCCTCAAGTACAAAATGTAATGTGAGAATTAGCGTTGACATTCTTAGCTTTCATTTAAAAATAATAATGTTCTAGTTCTTGTTAATGCTTTCACAGTTTGAAGCCACTCTTAGCAGCCTCTGCTCGAGGATCAGAAAATAGAGGAGGGCCACTAGCCAAGAAAAAGATGTCATGCAAACTCTTCCATGTGTTCCCATGATTCCAAGCCTGTTCCATTACTCTGTGCTATCACCTTAGTATTAACCTTTTGCTCTCTGTTATCTCTTGAATCATGAAGTGACTTGCCTTCCATAACCCCATTCACTGACAAAAACTTCCCCAAATATTAATCATAATTAACAAAAGAAGCATATGGAAATGTTTATTTGATTTTATGCTGCTTGACAAGGCTCTGCTTTTATTTCAGGATATTTAGCTAAAATTAATGCTGAAACAGATCCCTTCCCTACAACCTAATCTGTTTAGGTTCATATCTCTAAATTACTGGGGCTGGAACAAGCAAACACACTTACAGTTAGACTGTTTGTAAAGTCGGATTAAATAATTATGTTTTTATTGTGGCTTTTTTTCATTGTCACACAGTCCACAGTCCAAAATGAGGCACATTTTGAAAGCAAGTTAAAAGGTGGCCTCTTTGGAACCTCAGAGCCTGAGGCACACGCGGGCTGGGCCTGCGCTAAGCGCTCTGGTGAGACAGAGCTGACTGCCCAGATTGCAGAGAGACAAGATGAGCACCTCTGATGTGGTTGGCTTGTGCTGTTGTGTCAATTCCTAGGTGGAGAAGCGTCTGGAGCTGGTGAAGCAAGTCTCCCACAGTACACACAAGAAGCTGACAGCGTGTCTTCAGGGTCAGCAGGGATCCGATTCTGATAAGCGCTCGGTGAGAGGTTCCGGTGTCCATCAGATAACAGGCTGGGCTTATGTCTTGTTTATGTATGCACTGAGAAAAAGAGGAACAACAGGAGGGAAGCAAATGGGAAGGCATCTCAGCCAGCTTTTTTCTTCTGTGTATAAAAATTGTAGACAAGCATAAGTGAAATAGAGTTTTGAGTAGAGAGCTTCTAAAAATATTCATTGCATGGAAAGAGTGTTGGAGGTTTTCTGGGTTGGAGATGGCCTGGACTGTAGTATAATGATTATTTTAAAAAGTTCATACCATGGTTGCTTTTGTTATAGAAGAAATTGCCTTTGACGTCACTTGCCCAGTGCTTGATGGAGGGTTCTGCCATTCTAGGGGATGACTCCCTGCTTGGGTAAGATCTTGTATAAATGCTCACCTATGGAAAAGTTACCACCATTATTTCTAAAGAGGCATTTCAGTTGCAATAAGTTTCCTCTGGTGGAAAGTTGCTTGATCTGGAAGTTTGTTGGCAACATGCTGTAGTATTTGATTATTTGCTTCCTTAAACTATTCGTTCCCTGCCTTTTCTTATAAATGTTTTAAAGTAGTTCACAAGCAAGTACCTTAAAATGCAAAGCAAGCGAAGCTCAAAAGCAAAGCGTTTGTAACAAAACCTGCATCTGTTTAGATGGCTCTCAGTTACATTTGAGGCGCCACCCTCCTTTTCCCGCCCTTAGTGTTGCATCTGCTGTGGTCGCTTCTTAGAATGCAACAATATACATGCACACCTGCCTGTTCGTAGAAGGGATAAACCAAAGCACAGTGCTGTGCAGTCTGGTCCAACTTGGAACCCCCTTGTGCTTCCCGTGATGGACATCCTTCTCTGCCGCTTTGGGGCCATGGTACTTTGTGCCTAATATCACATCGCCTCTCATGGAAATCAGTCTCTCCCTCTCCCTCTCCCACCGTCCCCCTCAGTGATTTGCTTGTTTTCTCCCCTGCAGGAAGATGCTGAAGCTCTGTGGGGAAGCCGAGGACAAGCTAGCTCAGGAGCTCATCCACTTTGAGCTGCAAGTTGAAAGGGATGTGATTGAGCCTCTCTTCGTATTGGCTGAGGTGAGAGTTGCCTCAGCAGCGCTGGCTGAGGTATCGGATTGCCTTGACTCACTCGTGCAAGTGAGGACTGGGGTGCTCAGCTGAGTCAGAGTGTGGGACTGGATGCATCTCCTGCCCAACCCTCCATGGACCGCAGGACAGGGGCTGAAAGGCCAGGCTCCCCGGATTCAGCCAGTCCCTGGCCTGTGTGTTGAGAAGATCCATGTGGTGCATGGGCGGGACTCCTTTTTACTGAGCACAGCCCTACCTCCACAGGGAGGAACCACCTCAGATGAGTTGCTGGCTGGAGACACACTCCAGCCACTGGCTTGGCTGGGATGCTTCATGCATACAGGTTCCTCCCCTTTTGTCTCCAGCCTGAGATGGCCAGGCCCTGAAGGCTCCATGAAACTGTGGGGAACTACCACAAGCCAGAGGTTCCCCACACCTGCTCTGATGGGAAAAGCATCTGGAGCAGGAAGCATTTGAGGAACCCCTTTACAGCTAGGCACTGGTGGTGCTTAGCTCCTTGGAGGCTGGGGGAAAGCAGTGCCACCTTTTGGGGAGAGAACTAGGCCACATGGATGAGGGGCTTGGCATCTTCACAGTCAAGAAGAGAGACTGTGGTCTGCTCTGAAGAATAATCCAAGCTCCAGGACAGGAAGCGTGTGATTCAGTAGCACGGCTGGCAGCCTGGAAAGCAGGCAGAGGTCACCTCAGGCTGAGAAGCAAAGCACAAACTGAAGAGAATAGGGAAGCCTGGCAGAGCAAAACAAACAAAGCAAAGCACTGCCAACATCCAGCTCCTCCTTCCTTTTATCTTCCATGCAAAACACTTCTGTCTTCCTTTTCCTTTTGAAAGCCCAACCACAAGTTAAAATGGAACACATTTAAACCCTGCCATGCTTCGAGTGCTGCCTCCCCTTTCAAACAGAAGGCGTTTCATCAAAAGGCAGGGAAGTGTCTCCTTGCAGTGTGATACCTACAATTTCATGTCTGGCACCAGATGACATGGCAGCCACTGTAGGCATGTGATCCTGTGCATATTTAGACAGAAAGGAGGCCTACACCTCCCACCATTCCCCGGCTGTAGGACTTTTTTCTGCCTAAATATGCATGGATCGCATCTGCCATCACTGTATGTGGTGAAGCCATTGTAGAGAAGCAGATCGCCATGTTTGAAGAGTTGTTCTTTCCTTGTTTTGCCAATACGACTTGCACATACACAAGGCCAGGCAAGATAATCTAAACCATAGGAAGCACGGATATTCTGCATGCACATTTTTTCCACATGGAAATATTATTGCTACAAGTAAGAACGTTAAACCATTTGTAACTGCACTGGAATAACTGGCTAGGTGCACCATGAAATGTGGACTGCAAAGGCACCCTCTTCACCTTTCCCTTTGTTTCTTGCCTATTTCCTTAAAATTTGTTAAGCTGAAAAGCCCCTTTTCTGTGTTAGACTGCAGTTATTTATTTATTACCTATTTTTAATTCATCATTGCTTTTAATTTCTGTGCCACCTAATAGCCAAAGCTAAACCATCAGGAGGGTGCCAGGTTGAAGAACCCTGAGCTAGATTAAAATTGCTGCCCAGCAGTGCTGTTTATGGGTTTCCTGCTTTTCCAGCCCAAGCCAGTTATGAGAAGTTGGTGACAGTAAGCTATTTTGGAGGCCGTCTGAGGCTCCTTGTGGTCTGGGAGCTGTCCATCAGCTGTACGTGTCCTGATGTTGGCCCTGACTTTGGGCCACATGTGAAATTCTGAGAATTCACTCTGACCTCATTTGACTTTAATAAATACAATGCTTAATACAGTTCTGCATAAAAGGTACCCTTATATAATCATTTTATAACTGTTATTATAAAAATGATTATTTTTTCAGGTAGAAATCCCAAATATCCAAAAACAGAGGAAGCACTTAGCAAAATTAGTTCTGGACATGGATTCATCAAGGACAAGGTAAGAAACATGGTTAACTATCAGTTAATAACCCTCTGAGTGCAAAATTCCCAGCTTTCAGTTTCTTTTGCAGACTTGACCAATTATTCAAAATGTCCTTCAGGCAGCATAATTTTAAATATCTGCCCTGATGGACTCTCCTGTTAGACTGAGGTGCCATTCATCCACCTGGATTTTTACTATCCTGCCCTCTGTTTTAACCTGCAGAGAAGGAAGACCTGTTGGTGTGACTCTCTTCATAAAGGAAGGGTCCCCTGAAGGGCTTCTGTTTAGTAGGATGTAGGTGGCCCATGATATTCCCAATTCTTTCCACATGTGAGGCTGGTTTATGAGGATTCCTCCGTCGGTCAGTCCTGTATTCTTACAGGGTCAGAACCAACCCAAATATGGCCTTGAGTCCCCTTGTATCCACATTTTTGGCTCAGAGGTTTCTGTCAGGATCTAAAACAGAAAGGGCAGGAAGGATTTTTAACAACGTAGTACTGATTTTCTCTCACTATTACTCGGTGAGAAGGCACTTTTCCAGTGTGTTTTGACTCAGACTCTGTTGCTCCAGTGTATCTTATTAGCCAGGATAATCTAGCTCTAATCAGATCCAAGGCATTGCTCTCTTTCTAAGCCTTCCAGCTGCAGTCCTGGTGGTTGAGGCTTTCGCTCATGGAGACAAAGAGGTGAGCCCCAGGCCAGGCCAGGCCAGGCCAAGCCAAGCACTGCAAGCTGGTACCTCTGCTCACTTCTGGAAATAGATATGCTGCTCCTCATTTTGTCTCAGTGCTCCTTGAAAGCAACTTATTTTTCTTAGCATAAGTTGAACCCACTGCCTTGATTTCACTTAATATTGCCATTCAACCAGAGAAACACAAACTGAGCTGGCATCGTGGAGGCAGTGGCCTGCTGTCTTTCACACACGGTCTCCTTTTGTGGGGCTCATGCACCCCTCCTCCACTAGGTGTATGTCTGCACGTCCAGGATCAAGTCTGTCCAGTTAACCCGTGTGACTAAAACAAGCTCAAACTAGTTGCCACAAACTAGTAAAACTTTAAGATGCTATAGGATGCTTGGTTGTCTCAAAAAATGAGGAGAGAGAGTAGGATGAAAGTTGCTTTTGCATGCAAGGAGATGCAAATGTTCATATGCTGCTGCAACCAACTAAGCAACTTTCAGCCCATACAGAGCACTGTCACTGTGAATATAGGACAGAACTGTATTGCCGCCAAAGTGGGGAAGAGTGAGGGTTTACATATGTGAGAGCCAGGGAAGGGATGAACTGTCCAGCATCCAGAAAGGCTCTCTTGTATCTATTCTGATTTTCTATTTATGTATGTTATGAAGGAAAATACCTTGAATGAGAAGCTAAACCACTTCTGAGGGGTTTGAATCCTTCCCAAAGCTAGAAGAACATTTTCTCTTGCTGGATTGTGCATTGATGTGGGTTTTCCAGAAAAACAATGAATTTGAAAACAAGATAATTTGTATCAGAAAATATTAGCATTGGAACATTTTTGATACCCCAGAGAATGACCTAACTTAGCATAGTTATTTTATTTGCATATTGAAAACAACAAAGGTAAAAAGAAAGAGTAGCCCATGTTACATTTTTACTGCAGTACACTGCAATTATTTGACCTGAGATATTTGAGGGGGAAAATTAAAGGATACAGTGTGGTTTAAATGTTGCATTATGTAGATTTTTATTAGATTACATTTTACTGAAATATTTGAAAAGCTACTAAGACTAGAATTTCTGCTATTAATAAGCACTTCTCTGGAGCTATCAGTTATAGGTCAGGTGTGCATATTGGGTTGTAAATGTGGGTTGCAACAGTCTAACTGGTTAGATCTATGGTTTTTGTGGGAAAAAATCTTTTCATTAACTAAAATGCCATCTAATTACCTCGGCGGCAGATTTTTTAAACATGTTTTTACAAGAAGCCATCAGGTGGCAGATGTCAAGCACCAGTTTAAAGGATATATTTTTGCCTTTTGGCACATATTTTGAGCCGAATAATCTAAAAACAAAAAATTATTTTGGTTTCCAGACTCTTGCTTTTACCCATGTGAAAATGTGTGCAAATTTAATCACCCAAAGCACACACTGAGGCCACAATCCAGTGCATATAATACTCAGAAAGTCCCACTGCGAAAAGTGAGACTTACTTCTAGGTAAACATACATGGGATTCTGCTGCAGAATTTCTTCAGTCAGCCCTAGTCTGCATCTCTGTAAGCAAGCTCTGCTCTCTTGACCGTTTCTGGGTCCCTATATCTTTGCATTGGAGTCAGTACAGCTATTTTAGTCTTGATTTTAAATGTTTTGCCCCTCCAGTGCAGTGAGCACTTGAGACACTGTACACATAAAAGGAAAAATACATAACCAGCAAAAGGCTGAACAGCTTTTTGTACTGTCGATAGGGACGGAATGGAACGGACTTCAGCCCTCCCCTTTCTGTGTTTTACAATGGCATCCCTCAGTCAGACCTTTTGTGCCCCGACAGCAAAACAGGAGCCCAGACTGACCAAAGAAGAGAGATGTGAACCGAACGTGGATGGGATTCACCCCTTCCCTCTCATTCCACTTAGATCCCAGGAGGGGCACATGGGCCATGCCATGCTGTCACCCTGTGTCAGTTCTGCAAGGCTGCCGGAGCTGACAGCACCTGGCCTCCAAGAAAGGAAGCAGGCTGGCTGAGCCGCCTGGTAAAAAAAATTGTTCCAGATCGCAAGCCAAAGGTTAACTTCCCTGCTAGCCACAAAAAACTGTCTCAACCCTGCAGAAGGCAGAATCCGTGGCAGCTGCCTGTGGGCCTCTCTTCTGTGACTTGGCTTTGGGCGTCTCTCTCCACTGTTAAGAAACCTTTCATGGCTCTCGAGAGTGGACCAAAGCCCTGAGTTTTATGCCAGGCCAAGCTGCAATTGCACAGTCCTTTGCCCAAGTTCTGGTGGCCTGAGAGTTGCTCCTCCAGTGCCATCCTTTTCCTGAGTTGCTCGGGTGACCAGAGAAGCCTGGACCACATAGCAGTAGCTCAGACTAACAACTGCTCCCTGTACAGAGCAGCCTTTGGAAGCTGGACTAATGCAGGTGTGGGGAGGAGCGCCTCCCCCGTGATCGGGGCTTCCCACACTAGCCTGACAATATAAGCAGGAGCAGTGTGGGAGCAGCTTCCACACTGCTGCAGCAAAGCATCCTGGCCTTAGTCTGCCAGGCTCAAGCACCACATGAAAATAGGTGCCTCCCCTCCTGTCGCGCTTCTGAGAGGGTGGCTGCCGCCTGACATCTGCATTGTCTAAAAACAAAGGAATCATGCTTTTTGTTTCAGTCTCTTGTTTTTACACAAATGAAGGCATGTGCAGATTTGATCAACTGGAATGCATACTGAGTTTCAGTATTCTTACTCTTATTCGAATGTCTTAAATTCCCTTTCCTTAAAATAAATGAATAAATAACAGCCCAGGGCAACTTCCAACAGAATTATTCAAAGTTACAAAATATGAAATAGCCCCCCCCCCAAAAAAAAATCCCAGCGAAGAAACTAAACACAATAAATCAACTAAAGCATCAGTACAAACCATAAAGTGAAACATAGAAAGGTGAAACAGAGTCTGCAATGAAACTGAAAATTCTATTTGGGGGAACTGTGCCTTTTACTTCCTGATTCTCCTCCCTGGGAGATGTTGCACTGTCCAGATGTGCATAAGCAGTGGACCCCCATGACTCTCTGCAGTGCCCAGCTGTGTGCCATTTCATTCCTTCCAGCCATGGTTCTTTTATTCCTGAGGACCTTTTGACAGTCAGGGGCAACACTCTCCTGTCCTGCACTGGTCACCACAAGATAGAGGCTGTGAGCTCTTCCCTCAGCTCCATGTAAAAGTTATTTTCAGCCTCTGTTGTATACCTGTGTGGGTTTTGGCTCCCCTGCAATGGTACTTCTGATTCAGTCTTGATGGCAGACTCTTTCCCCCTGTTGTGTCTAGCAAGCAAGTTTGTGTCTTGAGGAAGGCTGACCATAAATCTGTAGGACTCCCTCTCCCTGCTGCCCCATGGGGCAATGCAGACCTGTGCCCCCTCATGGTTTCTTTTAAGGAGGCTTTCATCCAGGCCTTGATTTCATCCTTGGGGTCCTAAATGCCTTTCAGAGCCACCCAGATTATTCTTTCCACAGGCATTGCTACTTCAGAGGAGAAGGCATTTTATTTGAAATGCATGCAAATTCAAAATGACTGAGGCTGAGGCTGAAGGGCATGAACCTCAGAAGAGTGGGGCAGCATGAACTAAAACCCAGCAGATGCCTGAGGTCAGGGCAGGGGATGCAGTGGGTTCAGCACTGATCAGAAAAGGAACACTGACTTCATTTAGGAATGGAGGATGCTGCCCTGGATTGAGTCAGTACATCTGCCCTAGGATTATTGACAATGACCAGCATCAGCATTTCATGGGAGTAGGAAGGATTCTTCCATCGCCCTACCTGGAGATGCCAGAGATTGAACCTGGGCCCTTTTGCATATAAAGCAGGTGCTCTGTTATTGAGCCATGTCGTCTCCGAGCCTGCAGCACCTCATGGTTCCAGGCAGTCTCCCATCCAAGTGCTAACCAGGCCTGACTTTGCTTAGCTTCCAAGATAAAACCAGACACGGCATAGCCTTGTTTGTTGAGTGGGAGGTGACTCCTTTGCAGAACCATTGCTTTGTCAGTTTGGGTGGTTAAGGTCCCATGCTCTTTTGAGGACAGTTCCACCAGGAACTGATGACTGCTATGCTCCCTCAACTGTATGGGATATGAGCTATCCCATTAGGCAACCTGGGCTGTTTCTACCGGAGGTGGTTATTCTAAAAAGTGTAACTTTAAGAACTAGTGCGCAAGAGTGTTCTTTCTGTTTTCCCATCCCCTTTTCCATTTTTGTTCTGCCTTTTAGATTGCACGCCTGAGGGCAGAGAGTGGCATGTGTTTTTTCATTGATCTGTAAGCCAAAAATGATATAAATAGCCCTTTTAGAGCGGGGCTGAAAAGCTTCATGGGACAGACCAGAGGATTTTGACTCAGTCGATTAGAAAAGTGAAGTTAGTCCGAGTAGAATGACAGTAAAAGACCTAATGGGGTGGAGGGAAGTTCAGTTGATGATCTCAGGGTTTATTCCTAGCCCTTAGCAACCATGTAGGGGATTACTGATTCCTAAAATAATCAGTTCTTCAATAATTATTTGCCGCCTCTCTGAGAACAGCTGTCTCTGTCACTTGCATGACCCAGTGAAATAAATTGCTTTGCCTTCTCTTGGCTGAGGCCTGAGGTAAATGAATGCCCCCCTCTTCTCTGAGGAAAGCTGTGTGCATCCTGCCAGAAGGAGCAGGCGGTCACCCCTGGAGGGAGTTAGGTGCTTGTCTTGCAACTGCCTTTCCATCAAAGCTCTAACTTATGCACAAGTGCGTGGCTTCATGGGTTGCTAATGTAGTTATCTCCTTTCTCCTGCAGATGGCAGCAGTCAGCCAAGTCTTCAGGTTTATCAAGCAACTTGCAGCCCTCGGGTGCCAAAGCGGATGCTCTCAGGGAAGAGATGGAGGAGGCAGCAAACAAAGTGGAGATTTGCAGGGTATTGCTCTCTCCCTTTTCTTCTTCCCATGTCCGGTCAGAACCTCCTTGTATTTTTCAGGATGAGTCCTGGGGATGGCTGCAGTCCCACTGTTGGTAGTTCTTGGAAACCTAGCTTTGTTGATCCAATATGGAGTGTTATCTCTTGGGAAAGGAAGTGTTCAAAGAGAGTCATATTTTTCTCCGCTTTGCCTCAGACTGATGAATAGAGCTTCAAGCAAGGAGAATATTAGCATGAAAAATGTGATCCAATTAACACACTTTTGGGTCTAATTAGATTGTATGTGAATGTCTATAAAAGCAGTACTTCAACGGTTGTAGTATAGTGAGTTTGACTTGTGCACTTTCCCATCATGTAACTTTCTGTTTCTGTACTTCCTGCAGGATCAGCTCTCAGCTGACATGTACAATTTTGTGGCCAAAGAGATAGACTATGCAAACTATTTCCAGACCGTAAGTTTCAAAAACCATGGCTCTTGGCAGGCCCATGTTCTCCCTCACCATTCCTCCTCTGTAAAAATTTAGCAGCTTTCCTAGGATGTGAGTTCTTACTAGATGTCTCCTATTTTATCTCTCTCCCAGTTAATAGAAGTGCAAGCAGAGTACCACAAGAAGTCGTTGGCACTTTTGCAGAATGTATTGCCTCAGATCAAAGCACAGCAGGGTAAGTGTTTCACTTAGGTTGCCACTGTCCCTTATTCCACGAGAGGCACACCTGCTGAGGGAGCATGACTTCCATTCTGCTTCTCTCCATTCATAACCCAATATCAAAGGCAAGTGATTTTACTCATTAATCTACACCTTCCAGCCTGCTGACATTGGCTTGCACAGCAGACTGGGCAACAAACCATTAGTTGTCACCGAATAAAGTGGGTGGGGTGCAGCCAGAATTCTAAAAATGAGTCCTTTCCCAGAGTTGCTGCCATTTTATTACTCCAAAATGCTAGAAATCACTTGGGTTAAATGCTGAGCTCCCCAAAGTCGAAGGAAAACCCCATAAGGGCCACTGTTCCCCATGATGCGGACACCAGTCGTGAGGTCCTTCTTTGCAGAAGAGAGAGAAAGAGAGAAAGGACACGTGCCAAATGGAAAGGGCTGACCTTGTCAGTTAGAAAACGTCTTAATTTTTGTTAATGCTAATATAGCTTAAACTTTAAAACAGTAAGTTATGGTGTACTGTCTTCTGTGGGGCTTACTACTCAAGCAAGACTGCATCATTAGATTTTGCCCCTCCCATTAGCTTATGGTTTACATTAGAGCAGATGCTACATGGATAATTTGTCATGTTTAATTACTTATTTTATGCATTGATTTTAACTTGCATTTCACTCTGAATACTCCCACATAGGAGTTGGAAAAGCAGCTCATCAGTCTTTGATCACTTGTCTTCCAGTAACTGCCTTATGAATATATTATTTCCTGTAATTCTTCTTTTGAATTCATTTCAAATTATTGTTTAAATTTATTAAGACATTAAATTTAATAAAGTTTGTCTCTGTAAATACCCAGGAGTAGGCCCCATTGAATTCAGTGGGACTCCTAACTTGACATGTTCAGGTTTAAAATGGATTCTTGGTATCTCTTAACTCAGAACATCAATTAGAACTAAGGGGAGAGACCAAACATCCTCTTTCTTTAACAGCACTTAGTCATGTACATAAATGCACACACCATGACTGCCCATGAGATCTTCCGTTCTCCATGCAAAAAGCATGGAAGGGGATCCCTGCCATCAGCTGGGAACTTGCAGAAGGTTCTGGCTGCTCCTAAGTGTTATCAGGGGTGAGGGCAGTCAAGCTTCTGAGTAGTTCAAAGGAGCTTGCAGCTGGTGGGCCAGCTGTTTCCTGATTGTCTCTGGTCCCTCTTTTTTGGATTGCCTTCCACAGAAGCTTGGATTGAAAAGCCCTCCTTTGGGAAACCTCTGGAGGAACACCTAGCTGTCAGTGGCCGGGAGATTGCCTTCCCCATTGAAGCGTGTGTCACCATGCTCCTGGAGTGTGGCATGCAAGAGGAGGTGTGTATGAAGCAACTCTTGTCCCTCTCCTTGGGTCCTCTGCTTCTAAGGCTGGGGATCTCTTTCTTCTCCTTCCTTTCCAATTGTCTAGACAGTCTCTCAGGTAAGCCATACCCAGAGCAATGTTGCCCAGGATATATTTCTTGGCGATTGCAACCAGAGCTGCGGCACCTGTAGCATCTCTTTGGTTTTTGTTTCTCTTCTTCCATTTGCAGGGTCTTTTCCGAGTGGCTCCCTCAGCCTCCAAGCTAAAGAAGCTGAAGGCAGCCCTTGATTGCTGTGTTGTGGATGTTCAGGAGTACTCAGCAGACCCCCATGCGATTGCAGGTAAGCAGCTGGTATACCACTCTGACTTCACAGTGAACATTAGTAGCTTAGAAAGGTAGAAAGATCTTCCAGGGATAAATACAGACACAGAGCAACTGCCCGTAACCAGTTCACCATATGGAGACACTGACTGTGCAATGTGTGCTAAAGTGCAGCAATCCAGACAAGGAGGGGAGGTTCTGAACTTTTTTATGACAGCTCTGCTGCTTTGGAGAGAAGGCCTTACACATTTGTCCCCTCTCAATGCATTATTACAGTGTTTTGTCCCAATTCCTTGTTGAGAGAAGTAGCTGGTTAATCTTGTCTCACTGTCTTAAAAAACATATTCATACTGATCATGATATTTCAGAGAGGTCAATAGAATATCACACAGTACACAGAAGACAGAAATGTAAGGCACGTGATTACACACACAGCCAATACTGATGTACTTTGTAACCCACCAAAATCTAAGTGAAGATGCTTGGGAGAACATCATAAGTTCATGATAACTGCAAATATTTAAATCTTCCAAAATAACTCAACAGCAGTTGGAAGCAAACCTGAAGTTAGCATTTTTTATAAATTGGAGAAAAGGGTAGAAGAAATGCTTCCTCGACACAGGTCTAACTGTGAAACTACAGTTACAAGAAATGTGTTGCTCTCTCCATCCAGGCATGTGGGGAACCTCTGCTACTTAGTAAAGCCTATAGTCTTTACCTGATGATAAAATATTGGAGGGGTACACAACCCCTTTGGTGCTGAAGGCCACAGAACTATGGACACACAATCTAAAGGAGAATTGGTTTAAGAATTATGCACAAGGAAATCTGCCTCTCCCCAGTTGCTGATTGCCCCCAGTTGCCTCCCTTGATCATTAAGATATGCAGCAGAATTTATAAAACCAAGCCAAGTTTGAGAACATAAAAATAAAATTTGATGGCAGTACTAACTAAAATATAACTTTTTTATTTTTAAGGACGAAATAGGAAATAATTTGAGACTGTACTGGGCCTGGGATTTCCATTGACAGCAGTTGCATTAGCACACCAAACCAGATCTCTTATCTCTGACCGCTGACAGAGACTGGAGATAGGGGAAGGATTTTCCTTACTAGTGCTGGTAAGGGAAACCCCAGGCATTCTCAGGCTAATGCTAGCACTACCAAGGGAGCCCCTGGGTGGAGTCCCAGGGCTCTGCAGACTGGGAAGAGCCAAGGGCCATGTGCAAACCATGGGTTGCACATCCCCGGGAATATAATATTGCCGCATATTAATGTCCATGCAAGTGGCTAAAAAACTGGGGTGGAACACTTGAAAAGCTGGCCATTTATACTGGAATGCAGTTACTGCCAGACAGGAAGGATAGTGAGCTATGGGTAAGATTCTTACTCCTATCAATTAAGAACAGTTTCATCATCAACTGCTGCCCTAAACCAAAAGAAACATAGCAAGACTATGCATCAGAATTAGGGGAACGTTTTCTGTGTTGGCTACGTCTCTTCTGTGTTTCCCACAGGAGCACTGAAGTCCTATCTCCGAGAACTGCCAGAGCCACTTATGACATTTGAACTCTATGAAGAATGGATTCAAGCCTCCAAGTAAGTTCTTGAAAGGTTCAGGGTCAGGTTTTCTTGCCATCTCTCACTTTCCCTCCCAATATAACACTAGACTATCAGAGGAGGATGCTGTCCTGTAGATTCCCATTGGGAATTATTTATTTATTTGTTTGTTTAGAAAATTTCTATGCCGCCCCATTCGCCGAAGCCTCAGGGCGGCTCACAAAACATCAATTAGCCACAGTACCCTTGGTGAGATATACAGTGAAACTTCTCCTTGATACCTTGATTTGGCTATGTCCCATCAAGAGCCACATGATGCTGGGATGTATCAGCACTGGAAAATCTACTGCATCTATGTTTGTGGATTGTCAGGAATCCTTGCTTCTGCTGTCTGTTCATTGATGAAATCAGATTTGTCAATACTGCGTTCATATGCGTTTACATCTGAAATTTGGAGTTGTGCAAATTTGCAGGCCAAGTAGTGTGCAAGTGCCTCCAAAATGTTCAAATCCCAGGAAAATAAGTATTTTCACAATTTAGCCTATGGGAAAAATTCACACTTTTGGTCTGATTTGCACTTCATCTATATTTTTCTCTGACTAAATGTGCATAAAATGAAGTATTTTAAAAAAGAAAGAAAAGGGTCTTCAGGTCTGCAGAATCCATACAGCTAGGAAAAGCTGATCCACTGCAGAATCTGGGTCATATTCTTAGAAATTTGAACTAATTTGAATGTGTTGTTAATTTCTGCAACATCCCTACAAGATACTAATCCAGGCAGTTTGACATCATTTGCTTTGGAAAAGTCCAAACCCACAAGACCAACACTGAACACACATGGATATGTTACTTGAGAGCTTCATACTGCTCTCACCAGCACTTTCTGTGACGTTTGGAGGCACATTGGTGAGATGTGGAGGCAGGCTGCACTCTAACCCCTTTCAAAGCCACACAAATAATGTCCAACGTGCCCATCTTGGTTTCCAGAGGGATTTCTCTCCTTCCCACACTAACTTCCTAACTGAGAGTGTCAGTCACGTTAGTGATACTATACCCAGTGGCATTTCATGCAGGGTGTGATTTTAAGTACTTATTCCAGCATCCTAAATATTTCAGCTGACCGTGGCTCTGTGATGCTTGTGGCACAACTGCCCCCTCTTGATCCTAAAGAATGGGGCAAATAAAGACCCCTCCTTTGGACTGGAATAGAAACTCTGTACCGGCCCTGATGAAGGAAAGGGGGCCAACAGCCCCTGGTCTTACCCAACACTCTTGGCTCTTTAAGCTTGCTTCGCTCTTAAAATCCCATCCTAAACAAGTATGCAAAAAATGTGATCTGAGGCTTGTCACCCCTGATGAAGTGATTGTAGAAACAGGCCCCTTAGCAGCCATTACTTCGTGGCATGTCAGGTGAGCAGCAGCCGCACTCCCAGTGAGGGGATCTGTGAGAAACACCTTGGCAGCTTTCCCAGAAATGCCTGTCCTGTCTGCAGGTTTCAACTGCAGAATTGATGGGCGGTGAGAGAGGTGCGTCCCTTTGTGAGTGTCACTAGCTGTGCTTCTTTCTCTGCAAGAGCAGAAAGAAATGTGCGTTTGTGGGCACACTTGCTTGCATGTGTGTGGCCAGTTCAGATAGAGAATCCCAGGATATTTCATGTGCAATCCAGATCAACTCATGGCTCACTGCTGAATTAATCCTGGCCATCTTGTTCTTGCTTTATAGTATCCAAGACCAAGACAAGAGGCTGCAAGCCCTGTGGAATGCCCTGGAGAAATTGCCCAAGGCCAGCTACAGCAATCTAAGGCAGGTGCCCACATGCTGAAGGATAAGCCATCAACCTTGTTGTTTAGCTCTTGTTAGTTTGAATTTTATAGGCTGTCATTCCTAGAGAGAGAAGATTCTGGGTAGCAGGCCTGGGTTAAGGTAGAACAGAACACCAAAAGGGTCAGAGAGAGATTGTAGCGCTTTCCTAACATTTACTGATCCTTTTCTTTGGTTACATCCTCTTCCTTTTTCCTAGCACAGTAGCAGGGACTGCTTGCTTCTTTCCCCAATTAGATTGCCTTGAGAGATCTTGCATTTTCTGCCCTGGGACATGTCAGGAACAATTGCAGTGCCAACAGGCAAGATCACAAAAATGTAAGATCACAACCAGGCTTTGCAAGCTAACCATGAGTTCTGCAAACATCTGTCAGACATTCCTCATCTCACATGCCTTGTCTTGCAGAAAGAGTTCAGTATTTTTAGTTTCAAAGCCTGGCTAGGGTCAAAGTTGATCTTTTCTGCTCTGCAATCAAAGACTCAACTCTTCCCCCCCATTGCCAGCTAGACAGGTCTCCTGCATGGATGGGGGAGTGTGGGCGGAGAGAGAGAGAGACTCAAGAAGAAGCCTGCAATGCTCTGACCCATGGCCTGTGCTGCTCACCCCAGCCTCTTGCAGCAATTAGACTTGAGAAAAAGCTCTCTAGTGGTTTCAGTGGGAAGCCTTTCCTCAAGTCTAATTGGACGCAGCTGTACAGAAGGGCGACAGAGGACGGCAGCGTTCTTCACCAAACCAGGGACAAGCAGGAGATGGCTCAGCTTTATTGCTCAGTCTTCCAGGGACTGAGGCAAGTGGCACTTCCTCCCAGGATAGAGATTATGTCCTGCACGGCCTGCTTCATGATCAGCCTGGGCCAGATCATAGCTAAATTGTGTGCTCAGATGCAGAAGGTGTTCCGTGCTTGCTGCAGGATGCACTTCCTTATATTGACTCCCGGGTGGCCGCATTTATTCTGTTGGCCTTTAAAATCAGAAAGAGGATTGTCTTGACTAATTTAATTAAGCACTTTGTAAAACTATGGTTCAGGATTAATGTTAGTATTAGGCTTGCTTTCATTGTCAACACAACCATAATTGGACACTTAGGATTTTAGCATTTTAATTGTACTTTAGTACTTAATCATTTTTAAATTTAATTTGATTTAGTATTTAATTATATTTTATTGTGTTATTGTATGTATATGTTTTATTAATACCTGTGGGTACAACAATAAATTTGTACTGTACTATATGCCTAGGCCAAAGATGTAAAGACCTGGAAAAACCTCAGAAAAAGTGATAGTGGAGGAGAAGAAGAGCAGGGAGGAGAGAACTAGATTTTTTTCTTAAAGTACTGATGGTTTTTCAGAGAGATTTAGAAGATTTAGCTGTTGAAACCTTTTTGCCTGATTTTTCTGGTTCCCCACGAGCCTTCAGGTCTCTATCCTAGGTTCATACAGAGGGCTTCTGATTCTGGTTGTTGTGTAGATTGCATTGCTGAGCAAGATAAACTTCTCCACCTGGTGGCTGGTACCTGCAAATGGCAGCAAAGCATATTTCTTAGTATGTACCCTGGGACAAAGCACGTGCCGTGACCATGTATGGCAGGCAGGTAGCAGACATGACTAACCTGGTGCTAATGTCCCAGGCCACAGCTGCTGTACTTCTTCACTCTGCTTTAACTTGGTTGCATTCTTTTGCAGGTACTTGATCAAATTCCTGGCAAACTTAACGGAATACCAGGATGCAAACAAAATGACTCCGAGCAACATAGCGATTGTGCTGGGGCCGAACCTTCTCTGGCCTCAGGCAGAAGGGTAAGCAGCTGAAGTCTAGAGTTCTGCCAGTTTTAAAATACTAGTTAATGGAACTGAAAAATGCTGGTTCAATTTTATTACCTACATTTTGCAAGTACTTATTTAATTGCTATTCTTTGCTTGGCTTGCAACATCTGAATATTTCCATATCTTCAAAATAGTTTTGTCAGGGAATGGGCTACAAATTGAGGAAGAATGGAGCAAAGTATGAATAGTGGTTTTCAGTCAACGCATGTGAAAGGGACAAGTGGTGTAGCAAGGAAGGGATAACTGGGCTGGCTGCAGGAGTTCTTCTAAAAGGCCCTCATAAACACTTTTGCTCAGAGCTAAGTGTGCCTGAGATTGCAGCCTTAGATCACTTATGTATATTTTCCTGTAGTTGTTTCTTCAATGCAAGTGGCATTTGATCACTTACTTCTCATATAGTACCAAGTACCATTTCACAGGTTCTAGGATCTGATGCAAAACTCCACAGTTTTAACCTGGGCTTTCTGGAACTTAGCATGACAGCAGCTGTGATCACTTCCAGAGCTAGTAAGCAGTGAGCACAGATAGACACCAGTCTGTTCCAGAGCAGCAGCATGTCTTTCACACCCGGCAGAGTGTGACAGAGATTAGCCCTCTCCAGTAGGAACTGGGGAGAAAGAGAAGGGCCTGAGAAGGAAGCAAGCAAGCAAAGAAAGAAAGAAAGAAAGAAGGAAGCTGCAGGGCTCTGTTATGTCAAGTGGGACGCTGCCCTGGAGCCAGCGGTTGGAGTGGATGATCTTCTCTTCCTGGGGGTGAGGAACAGTTTGTGGGTGGGGCACGAGATGACCCCTCAGTTGGCCCAGCAGAGAGCCTGCTGATATGGGCTGGATGGCATCCCATTCCTTCATTTGTTTTGGCCCTCCTGGCACTCAAATATCTTATTTGCCTCTTCAGCCTGATTGCTGATCTTCCTCTATTCCTCTTTCCCTGCTTCCCATTTTTTCTAGAAACATCACCGAGATGATGGCAACCGTTTCCTTGCAGATAGTTGCAATTATTGAGCCCATTATCCAGCATGCAGATTGGTTCTTTCCTGGAGGTAGGAAACATAATTTCCATTTATTGCTCCGGTGCTTTTGTATGCTAGTGCTGGCTACACCCAGGCAAAGCAAGCCAGGGCAGGGCTGGTGGTGATAACCAGGCCTCAGATCGATCACTTGGGGAGCTGCTTACATCACCATCTGTTGTTCTTGTTAATCCTTCTCTTGTTGGCTCGCATTCCCCATAGTGTTGTTTCAATCTCAGCACCTGAATCTCAAATCGAGCACTGTGTTTCTCATCACCTCCTCCTCTGGGTGGTTCCAGACCAGTGCTTTCCTTTGTTTCTCTTGGCCTGTTGTTGTACAACACATTTGAGAACAGTTATTGCATAGGAAATTCCATAAGAACCTACCTGTTTGCCCGTCCCTGTTAAAAATATGTGTCTGTGTGGGTATGTAGGAGCGTCTCCCAACCAGGCAAGATCAGATCAGGCAAGACTAGTGCTTGCTAGTTCTTTTCCCATTGCCCCTTGCCTTCCAGGGCCGGACCAACAAACAATCAATGGCTCTTTTGTTCTCTCCAAATTAGACATTGAATTCAACTTGACTGGCAATTATGGCAGCCCTGTGCATGTGAACCACAATGCAAATTACAATTCCATGCCATCGCCAGAGATGGACCACGCTGACCGCAAGCATCCGGATCAGACCCGGCGACCGCTCAGTGTTGCCACTGACAACATGATGCTGGAGTTCTACAAGAAGGATGGGTAGGGGGCGCTTCTGCTTTGCTATGGGAGGAGTAGGGACACGCTGTGGGATGCACGCTGGGAAGGGCTGTGCTGGCCTGGAGTGCTGCTGTGCAACAGTAGTAGTAGCAGTAGTAGTAGTGTCCGTGTTTCGTAAGAGTGCAAATGCTCACTGCCTGGTCACTAACATCCCACCCTGATCCTGAGCTCTTCACCTTCCCCAGGCTGCCGCCTTGTGGCCTCCTTAAAAGGGAAGGGGGCTGTAGTGCCTGCCCCCTGCCTAGAGGCCTGTCTGTGCCTGGCCTCTGCTAGCCGTGCACCTCTGTTGGACAAGTCGTCCCCCATCGCGAGGTGGGAAGGAGCAACCTTTGCTAAGCCAGCGAGGGCCAACAGAGTACAGGACAGGGTTTCCTGGGGATTGGAGGTTGAATTTGGCAGCTCTGCTTATGGTCAGCTGACCAAAACGGGCCCTGGATAGGTCCAAGAGGGGACTTTTCCAGGTTGAATTTTGTACATTATGTACTCAGCAAGTATGCAGTATGCACACTAAAGGTTGATCAGCAGGTCAATTCATGTTTGCAGTAAGCCTGTCAGTGCTTAAGTGATAGGTTGCAGTCTTTGTCTGCCTGATCACCATGTTGGGACATTTGCAATTTTTTCATCTGAACCTAGCTGAATAGAAGGCCAAGGGAATTTGGTCAGGTTTGCCATATGATTCCCAAAGCTCTTTCTTCTATGACTCTATCTCCTGCTTCCTTTGCCTCTCAAAGGCAGTCCAGGAGAGGGTGCAGAAGTAAGTCTGGGCATCATGATACCCACGGGTATCATGATATCCACTGAGATCAACTGCTCAGGCGGCAGCAATTTAATGAATGATGAATTCACTCTCTGCTGTGGTAAGACCAGCCAAAGGGGAACAGCATTGTTCATGTTCTATTTGTCCAAGCATATATAATATTAGTGGTGCTGCTCTTTCAGTATTTAGTTCTGAGGGGCTGTTTTTGGGAAATCAAGAGCATTGGCAGCACCTGATAGCCAGAGGTTGTCAGTGGGAGTGGAGAGACTTTCCAGCTTTACCATACTGGAGTCCTGCTGTCCTTGCTCCTATTCAGCCCATGAGTGTTACTGAAAATTCATTGTCTAAGAAACATCATGCTCATTTTTTCCAGTATATCTGGACATGCATGGGCATATACTGGGATCTCTGCCATCTTCTGGGACGTGGGCTGGTAGTGTTACCACTTTTGATAATGGAAATGCTATATTGTGCACTCAAGTTGTATGATTTGCCCCAAGATAGCCCTACTGTTCTCTTGTGGCACTGAAATGACAATTTGCACACATTCAAAATCTGGTGCTGATTTTGACTATACAAAAAGAGAATGTAAATATCTAAAATGGTGCAAATGCCGTTAATTGTAAATACTTCTTTGTGTCTGCATGGATAGAAATCTTTAATAGCACAATCAATTGTGTATTAGGTTCCAGTCAATGAACTTTCTGCTTCTTAACTGATTAATTAAGATGTTGATTAAATGCATTTTGTAAAACAATGAAGAAGGTCTCTTCTTGAACATATTGGAAAAGGAGGCCAGGGTTTGGATTGGTGATTTATTTATTCATTTTTAGTGGGCACTTAAAATTAATGAATGAATCCTTGGTAAAAGAAAGCACCACCTTTCATATTGCTTTTCCTATCATGTTTTGGTATATTAAAAGGTGATGATAGTGAAATGAGTCAAAACTATAGTTTTAAAAAATATTAAGTTGATTGTCCATTAGTCTTGGGAAAGTTCCAGTTTTAAATTACATATTTACATTGACTTAACATTAAGGTCCTTTAAACTTTGTCATAGCCACAGAGGAGCCAATTTTCTGTGGGTGGCATCCATGTAGTTGCAGTAAGGTTTAACCCAGATTGGCAGAGCCATTCAGTGTGAGAGGGGTGCCAGTCCACCAGAAAGGTGCATGTAATTAAATCCCCACTGATGAGGCATTTTAAATGTTGCTGAGGCCTTGTCAGGAATCACCCATGACAGAGAATCCCCAGCTGCCGTGCTGCTTAATGTTAAGGGGGAAATTATAATAGTTTCCTGCTGCATTACAAACTCTCTGCCAGATTATTTTTGACAAGTTCTGCTCAGGGAAGAGGGAAATGGCATGTGCTTTCATAACTGGCATGATGGCTGGTCCTTCATCAGTTCCAAGACCTGCAAGTCATTGCTTGTGTCACCTCTAAAAATGAATTCTCAGGCAAAACTTAATCTGCAATTACAGCACTAATTGAATAATCACACTTATATGCAGTGCCAACCTGTACATCTTTACTAGATCCAATGAGACTTACTCCCATCTACATATGTATAGGTTTTCAGCCTAATGGATTGAAAACGTACAACCCTATGATGTTCAGGGTATATTATTTTACTATTTTACTTACATTTTCTCATTTGGTTTATTGTTCTTCTCGCTTTCCTTGGATTTCCAAAGCTTTAACTACCTTGCACACAGTCTATCCTGCATTAAAAAACAACCTCCTCTCTTATAACCTATATCAGTTTCTAAGAATGGTCCACTCTCCAGACATCAATTATTAGCACCTGAGTTTGCAATCCATGTATGCTAACACACTTTCCTAGAGAAGGAATAGAGAACATCCCCACCCCGCAAAAAGTTTATTGACCTACAGGAAAAGTCAGGTGGGAGCCGCAGACAGTGACAAGCAGAAATCAAGTTGATGGCAAGAGGTGTTTACCACATTGCAAAACTGGAGAGCACCCACTCTTTTTGCCCCCCCCCCTTGAAATAAGTCTGAGGGCTGCAAGTTCTGCACCCCATTCTTGTGAGCCTTTTGAGAACAGGAGTTGAACTGTTTAAGGGTTACAGTATTTTACTATGCCGTTTACTTCTGTTTCCTATTACCTATGCTATTCTTTAGTAATTCAAGGTGGAGAGGAGAGGTCCCAAGGTTTTGCCTGAGTGAGAAATGTGTATTTTTTCTTTTAACTTTTGCATGATGCATGGAGGGAGAGTGCAATTCTCTATATAAAGCTGTGTCACGTATAAGGAAGACTGTGCAATGCAAGTATAACAGAAGTCATAGGTGGGGTGTTTCTCAGATGCTACAGGTGAGCTGCGGTGGAGAAGAAAAGATACCAGAGAGAAAGTCTTGATCTTGGTGCAAATTTAACTTGGGAGATGATGTAAGCCCACTCATGGCATCCTCTGCATGTGTGAGCATCCTATGTTGCCCAGTGCTGTGCTTCCTTCAGATATCAAGTCTTGGCTCTAACTGACCAAATCGGTTTTACACTTTGATCCCAAGAGAAGAACCATTAAGACATGATTAAGTCCCTTATGCACACTTTCAAACTGCTTTATCTCTTCCCCCTCTCATCCACCTTCTCATCTCTCTCCCTCCCTCTCTCTCTCTGTCTCTCTCTCTCTCCCTTGCTCACACTCACACACACACACACACGCACGCACGCACACATTCACATACCAAAACAAACAGCATAGTTTTCGCCAAACCCTCCAGTTCCCTTGGGCTCTCCCTTTGGCTAAATGTCCTTCATTTCTACTTAGTATGGTGCTTCTCTGAAACTGAATGAGCTTGATCCCCTTGCTTTCCCAAGCTGAAGTCTTGGACCTTCAACCCCTTATGGCAGGAGGAGAGGCATTTGGCCTTAGTCTGTGTTGCACTAATGTCTATATGTTTCTGTCCATGCAGCCTTAGGAAAATCCAAAGGTATGGTATCCTCTGGGTCGCTCTTGGGCCATTCCTATTTCCGGTGTCAAGACCCAGTCAGTACAGAGCACCCACAGCCTTGCCAGCTGACGTCCTCCATTGCCACCTTGAGTGCCATGGCAAGGCCAGGATCAAGCCAGCTTCTCCCTAAGTACAGACAGAATAAAGCCTGTCCCTGGAGTGCATGCTGAACCTACAGAGCTGCCATATACAGAGCCTGTGTTGACAGGCAGCGGTGCTCCCAGATCAGAGACAGAAGCCTTTCCCAGCCCGGCTACCTGAGCTCTTCAAGCAGAGGTGGTGGAGATGGACTCCGGGGCCTTGTGTATTCAGAGCATGTGAACCAGCTCTGATCAGTAGCCCTTCCCTTCCCCTCAGCAATTTCTTTCCTTTTTTTTTCTTTTCTCTCTGCTGCAGTTTATCAAAAATGCAAAGGGCACTTTCCTTCCGCATTGGAAAATAGCTACAGTTGTCCGGGTTGCACAAGATGAAATACATTGCCCCAAATTTTTAAGGGGTGTCTTATATTTGGGTTGCAGTTCTTTGGAAAGGCTTTAGGATTCCAGGCCTCCTCATTCTTGCTCTGCCCAGGAGTGCCTTCCTTGGGTGTATGCCTTGCTATTCTTGAAATGCTTGCTGTGTTTTGTGGGTTGTAAGTGTTCACTGGGTATTACAGCTGTTTCCAACCCTAGCAAGTGAAGTCTTAATTCTTATGTAAGTAATTTTCCTGCAGTGATATAAAATTCTTTGGGCTGAGGACTGTCTGTACTAATGGCCAAGCTGCTCCTTCCTCCCTAATGGAGTGATTGTGATAGCCAAAATCAGAAATGTGAGAACTTTGGAGGGACTGTCATAGGGAGAACACATCCCTTTATCATTGCTTTGGACTTTAGAGGGATCAACACGAGGTTCCATCAAGTGGAAGGCACGTGATCTCTCCCTCTGGCGAGATGAAGCCTGTGTTTTACATGCTTGTGCCCCCTTAACCATACATGCCAGCCCAGGGAACAGGAGTCTGTCCAAGCTCCTTGTACACCTGGATGTCCTTAGGTGGTTTCCCTCTTTTCCCCTGCCATGAATGTGTGTTTTTATGCTCTGTATATTGCTTCCAAGGTGGTAAGGGCATATCTCTGTGTTCCCCCCACCATAGCATGGGCGTCCGGGTGATGGACACCTCTTGGGTGGCTCGCAGAGGCACCTCCGTAGTTCGTAAGGCCTCCTCCACCCCTCCTGCCATGCAGCCCCCTGCTCCGCCTTCTGACCTTGCTGCTACTCCTCAGTCACCAATTCCTGAGCAATCTCTTGACATTTCAGCTACTCCCTCCCCTACTCCAACTAGCTTCGGCTTCCCACCAGGGGCTGAGCAAGCAAGGTAAGTGCTGGAGGCAGCATGCATTGCTGCCACCCTGTTCTGTGGTCCTGAAGTCTCTGTAAATACGTCTGCCACTCCAGCGCCTGCATGGGCTCTCTTTAGTTGTGCTTCAGCTTTCACTCTTTCACAGTGTGCAGATGCGCATATGTGTGCGTGCGCGCATGTGAGAGAGAGAGAATGAATGAATGAATGAATGAATGAATGAATGAATGAATGAATGAATGAATATTCAGGCACAAAATAATGCAGCTTCCTGCAAATGTAAGCAACAGCCACAAATACTCAGTCCCCAAGAACATAGACTGCAAGGGGGCTTGGCACCAAAAATGAAAGTAGATTTTTCTTGTCCTCAATGCCTAATAGCTGCCCCTCTTGTACTAATGGGCTCCTTCAGGGAATGAACAACCCTGCCTGTTTCTTCTTCCCCCATCTGTTAGAACACCCCTTTATAGAGCCATTACAACCTCCTTACATGATAATGGCTTATTCTGATTCAATCATTCCTTAAGCCTAGATTTGGCTTAAGTCCTGCTAGTTTCCTTTTTAGGCTGTCCATGTCTAAACCAATGAAATTAACCCAAATTTGCCTGAGACTTCTCTATACCTTAAAGCCCTTCTTTTCATTGCTGGACAGCTGTGCAAAATGAAAACCCAGGTGGTGCCACCTTGAGGCCAAATGGTCACTATGTTGTTCTTTTGGTCCTACAGCTCCCGGTGCGAGTTATTTTGTGCTATGGATTCACTCATTGGGTCAGCTTTGACAAGCAGGCATCTTAGCCATGTTTGCCATGATCATGTGTGCAAAGAGTAGGGTTATCCATCAGGCACCATGCATATGTTTCTGGTCAGTGCTTCTGCCATAGATGTGCTCCCTGCTTTGTATCAAGCATGGAATTAGATTTCTAATGCATTGCATGTCAACAAGCTCACTAGAGTGGAGGCAGCGAAGGCACATGGGACAAACCATTTCAGGGAAGGGCCAAGATGATGCACCCACAGAGGCAGCTGCTTTCCTCTTTGTGTTGTATGCTTTCTCTTGAAACAGAAGGTGAGACTTGAGCAAAATCGGAATTGAGCTCCTTGATTCTTAGGTAATTATCCTGCAGTTGTATTAGGAAGAACAGACGTCTAGTCCTGAAGTTAATACTTTTCTGGCTTCTGTGCTTCAGCAGTGGCCAACATTTACCCTGCTCTACAAGATCTGTTGTTTGCAGCATTTTCCTTTTATTTCATTATCTCTTCTCTCTTTTTCCCTGTTGCTTTCAGTTTTCACTGCAGATTTCCCAGACTTGTTCCTGGCACCATTTTTTATACTTTGTGCAGCTATATTTTGCACTGATGTAACTACACATTAAATTTCCAAAATCCCCCCACCCTTTGCTCACTGTGCATACCTATTGCCAGCATCATCTTCATCAGTAATAAAATGAGGGCACGTGCCCTGCTTTATGTCCTCTGTTAAATTTGACTTGCAGGGAGTAATCCCATCTATTCTTATGTGATGCAGGCGGTGCTCTGTTGTCACTATCTCATTTACCCCTGCTACAGTCAGTTATTTAGAAATGGACTTTGCAACTACTTGTGGGGAAATGAACAGTCCTCTCCAAGTTGTTGCAAGAACCACCAAGCAACATATTTACAGCCTAGGTCTGGGCAAAAAGCCTGCAGCCCTGAAAATACCTAGGAGAGGGAAAGAGTCACTACCATCCTATTCCCCCTGCTGAAGATCCTTGGAACAAGGCATCCTTGGGAGAAAGCACAAGAGATCTGTGGGACAAGATATCTTCAGCCAGGTGCTCTTGTGTCCTCCGATAGATCGTATAGGGGCAGAAATACACTGCAAAGTTTTTCCCCCTCATAGGGAAAGGGTGTTCTTTGCAAGAGGTATGCATTATGCACACTTGCACCAAACAGATGTCAGGGATTTTATGGGTACATCCTCTTTATTGCCTTGCGCTGTTTGCGCTCTTTTTTGCCGATTGTAGACATTTGCACAAGTCTGCTACTTCTGGCTCCAAAGAAGTCCCATGCAATTCAAGGGAGTCTCCACTGAGTCCCTTCCCCCCAACACACACGAACACCTGACTGCCTTTTTGGCAGCTGGACTTCTTCAGCCTGGAACTATCTGTGTCTCTATCAAATTTGGCTACAATTACCACTGAGTACAATACTCTGCTTACAGTGTCCAATTCCTCAATTTAGGTCTGTAGGTGAATGAGTTTAAAGGGTTGAACTGGGATTAGCTTGAAAACCAGGGTATTTAAGACCTGTACCTTTAATATCTATACTGTTCTGTTATTAGTTCACAATAGCTAGGGAAAAGAGAAAAAGGGATCACAGTCCAACCCTTGAGATAAGGACATGCAAATTCATTAGAACTCATTCCATGCTTTCTTGCTGTCCTGGGATTGAGGTATCCCTCACCTGCTAATGCATACCTAGCACTTCGGAAGGAGTTCAGGAGTAGCTCTGCAAACCCTGTCCTTACCTGATTTTGCCATTCTGTATGCCATCCTCCTTCCTTCAATTCTTAGATCAGTAGTTCTCAGAGCAATACTCTACTTATGGTACCCAATTCCCTAATTTAAAGAGGCAGCATATGGTACTGTGTATAGCCTGTGAGTTATTTTTCTCTTTTGTGGTGAATTAGTTTGCCCTTGAGTTATGAAAAGGCCTAAAGTCTTTTAAGTACAGAACCTCTGAACTGGAGGCAGACACACACTGCCTTGGATCCCACTATGGTCCTTCTAGTGGCCCCAAGCTTGTTCTTCACAGCTTAATGAGTTGCCAACTCAATGCCAACCCCTCGTTCCCTATTTCCACCATATGAAGACCATTTTTTCTTTGTTGAGTGTTGAGTGTTCCCCCATTCCCACATCTTCTGGCCTTTAAATACCTTTCTGCTATATTCTCAGTACACACTTGTTTATAGTTCCTACACTGCCCGTAAGCCAAACCTCATGATCAGATTTTTCTTCATTAATGCATTGTTTGTTGCATCTATCTTGCCTTTCCTCCAGAGTGGTGTAAATACTCCTCCTCTCCATTTTATGCTCACAACACCCTTGTTGGATGAGGTAAGCTGAGAGTCAGTGTCTGGCCCAAACCCACCCTGTGAGCTTCAAGGCTGAGAGGGAACTGGAACCCAGATTTCCCAAGTCCCAGTACAACACATCAACCACTAAGCCACTCTGGCTTTCCAAAGTAATGGATTACTGAAAAATGTTTTGGCTTCATCCTTATGTTGAGAGAAAGGCAGTTGTTGGACTGCTTCAGCAAAAGTGAAACCAGTCAAAGTGATTTGGAAAGATTGTCATGGATTGGTGAATAATACCCACAGGTCTAAAGTAAAAAGGGTGTAGGGTAACCCATTAATTTTAGTAAATAGTATGTGAATATAGAAAAGTTTTAATGTGTGTACTGACAATATAATAAAAGGGTATCTAGAAGGATACCTATCAGCACCACCCCAGAAAGAAAACCACACCAAACATCTGGTAGCTTAAGTTCCTTTCCACCTTTTCCCCAACCACCAATTTAGAAATCAGGACTGCCTCTGGATCACCTGCTTGCCAGGCAGCTTTGCATGGGCTGAGTTTCTGGCTTCCAGAGCCTGCTGTTGAATTTCCAAGGGGATGGTCCCTGAGGAATGCAGCAGAAACTGGGTACCTGGCACCGTGTGCTCAGGAATGAGCCCAAGTGTGCCTCAGTTTGGGACCCCCCTCTGTTTCCTGGACTTTTTGGTTGTTGTTCTCCTCCTCGCCCCCGCCCCCTGCTTTTGGGCTGTTTTCGAAACTCCTGTTCAGTTCCTCCCTGTACAAACGCTCTCTGCTCTCTTTTTTTTTTCCTTTGTTTTGTTGTTTTGGACATTTGCAGCACGGATGGTGTGTCGTCTAGTTGGTCGGATTCCTGTTACATCTACCCATCCCCCGAGGACGACAAGCCCTCCCCTTCGCCCTGCTACTCCTCCTTCCACCCCTTCCTCCCCAAGCCTGGCCCTTGCACTAGGCCCGAGCCTCCCATGCCCCTGTCCCGGTGGTCAGGGTTCAGCCAAACTCTGCCTCCCCCTTCGTCCTCCTCCTCCTCCTCCTCTTCCTCCTCCCTCTCCCCTCAGCAGCTTGACATTAACTCCAACCCCAAGCCGTACTTCCTGCACCTTCCTAAGCAAAGCTCCCTCACAGAGTCGCATGGTCCTGAAACTAACCTCTCCCCCATCTACTTGAAAAGCCCCCTCCCCTTCTCCAAACCCGATCCTCCTGGCACTCCTCACAGCCCCTATGTGTCAGTCTCTCCCCCCTGGGTCAGCTGCACCTGTGCCAGAGACAGAGGAGCCGGGCTCGCTAGGTAAATAACCGCTTGTGTGATGTGGTGGAAGGGTGAGCACTGCTTGCCCGCCATGTACCGGAGCGTTGCACGGAGGGCTGGGATCCCTTCGGCCTCACGGCGCCTCGGCAGAGGAGCGAGGCCCTCCTGTCGGCCTCCACTCGGAGGCAGCGGTGCACCAGGGAGCGGCCCTTCTGCCCACGACCGACCCTGCAGAGGGAGTGGCGCGCCAGTGCCAAATGGCTCTCGCTCAGCAAGAAGCCTGGAGAGGCCTAACGGGACTTTCAGCAGCCTCCCCAGACAACAGTTCCCAAGATTCCTTGGGGAAATCGTGCCAGCCAAATTGGTAGGCAACCAATATATGTCTTTGTCCTTTGGATAGACCTTTAATCCATGAGTAGTAGTAGTTCCCATTCATTCCACCATCTCTTTGGTGCAGAACATAAACCTATCCCCCCCGCCATGAGTTGCAAAGCCATTTGCAACTTACATGATTTTGACCTTTGCCCCAGGCAGCTGAGCCAGCCCACTAGGTTCCTGCCGCCTTGAAAAGCTTGCCTAACCTTAAAGTGTGCCTAAAAATACAGTTAAATCAAGTAAGTAAAAAATGCAAGGACACAAGAGACATAAAGTGTGGCCTGGTAGACTTTGATTCCTTCTCCTCTCCAGGTTTCAAATGCAGTTAGTTGCCTGGTCTGGCAAGCTACCTTGAGTAGCATCTGTCTCACTCCAGGTCATTTTGGCCTCCCTCTTAGCCCCACCAAGTAAAACCATTGCTGGCTCTGCAATGGTCTGGGCTGCAGATCAGCCATCCCAGACCAATGACCATCAAGTGATCATTTGTAAAGTGAGTGAAGTCTCCAGAACCTCAGACAACTGTTTCAGCCACCCACCCCTCCCATCATGAGGAAGATATTGTATCTCCCCTTCCCCTTCAGATTGTTTTCCGGGAAACTGCTTCCCTCCATTCTTGCATTGTCTCATTGCTGTGCACAGAGTGACTGCGGGGGCCACAATGCCGTTCATGTGCTAGTCATGCTCCGTCTGCTTTGAAGGTGGAGGTGCAAGTTTGCTTGGAACTTTGGGCATGTGTTTGGGAGCAGAGCATAAAAGCGCTTTGCTTTGCAAGCATCATTTGGCTTACCTTGGCAGAGGGTGGTCAGCATGCACCCAGGACTCTTGCCAGGAGGAGGAGGAGGAGGAGGCTGAGGGGATTTTGCAGAAGGCAGCCTTCTTCCAAAAGGGCTTACGACTCTTTCCTTCTTGCCCATCCTTTGTATCTTTTTAGCGCACTAAAAACCAAGGAGCTCTCTCCAGTGTCTGGGCAGAAAGGCAGCCCGGCATGTGGCCACATGGTGCCATGTGGTGCAACGGCACAGCAGCCGCCTGGTCCCACACCGCAGCTGTCCACAGAGCAGAGTCCCCACACTCTACGGAAAGGTATGCAGCACTTCTGAACAGAAGGGTGACCTTAGCAGATTCAGACAGGGCCTCATTGCAAACATCTCTTCTATTTAGCACACGCAACCCATACTTGGATTCTGCTGATGGGTAATCCTACTTAAGTCAGGACTCTTGTTTTCTCTGTGGGTGGTTGCAGCTGTTTTCTTAGGACTCCTTTCTGTTGTCCTTATAAGAATAGCTAGGAAAATGCAACCTAGATCAGAACTTTTATGTACTTGAAAAACAAAGAAAATTGCCAAAACAAGCAGGCTAGAGAGTTGAACTTGGATGGTAAGAAAAGCTGGCTCAAGCCCTACCTTTGGGCAGAGATGCTGCATGCTTCAGAATATCAATTAAGGTAGACAGGAGTGATCTGGTGAAGTTGTTTACTTGGACTTCCAAAGGGCTTTTAACAAGAGACTTCAGAACAAATTTAGCTGTTGTGAAAGAAGGTAAGAGCTCCTCTTATGGATCAGAACTGAACTGGTCAAAGAACAGAAAGCAGAAAATGGGAATAAATAATGGAAAAATATAATCAGTGGGGTCCCACAGAGATCTATTTTGGGACCAGTGCTTTCCAATCTACTAATAAATTAACTGAAACTAGGAGTGAGCAGTGAAGTGGCCAAGTTTGCTGATGACATCAAATCGTTTAATATGGTTAAAACCAAAAGGGACTGTGAGGAGCTCCAGATTGGGGGAATGGACATCAAAATAGCAAATGCAACTCAATATATGCAATTGTAAAGGAATGCATTTGTAGTTGACATATCAATGAAAATGTCAATTCTATGCATAACCGCTGTGAAAAAGTCAAATTCCATGAGAGGCACAATTAGGAAGGGAACTGAAAATACAACTGCCAGTGTAATACTGCCCTCATACAATTCTATAGTGTGACATGCTTGCCGTATTGTGTACAGTTCTGGTAACCACACCTAAAAAAGGATATTGTAGATTGAAGAAATGCAGAAAAGGACAAGTAGAATGATCAAGGGGCTTAAGCAACTCCCCTGCAAGGCAGGTTACAACAGCTGGACTGTTTAGCTTAGAAGAAGGCAAGCTGGTGGAGAGGTGGTAAAGGTGCACAAAAGTACGCACACTGTGAAGGCAATAGGCCAAGCTGACTGGTGGGACATTCAAGACAAATAAAAAGGAAACTTTCTTCACACCGCACATAGTTAAACCATGGAATTTGTCTCCACAAGATGTAGTGATGGCCACTGATTTGGACAGCTTTAAAGGAGATGGGACAAATTCCTGGAGGATAAGGCTATCAGTGGCGACTGGTCCTGATGGCTGTGTGCCACCTGCAGTGTCTGAGGTAGTATGCCAATGTACCCCAGCTGCTGGATAACATGACTCAAGGTGCTGTCGTGCCCTTTGTGGTGGTTTCTCGTAGGCAGCTGGTTGGCTGCTGTGCAGCCAGAATGCTGGACCAGACAGACCCTTGGCCTGCTCATAGAGCCACTGGTCAAAGGGCATTGTGCAACTATGCTCTCTCTTCCTCCCTAATACGTTTTTCATAGTAAGGTTGCAGGCAAAAGTAGCAGCAGTGAAACATAGGAGGATTACAAATGGGAGTCAACATGGTCCCCCCCCCCTCAAGCTTCTACTATTCAGTAAAATTCCACGAATGGAGCAAGGAGATTGACGAGGAAAAGCCTCATCTGGGAGCATCCATTGTCTCGTGGTCCCAGTTCCACTCTGAGCTGAAGCTGAACACAATCAAAGTAGGAAGACGCTCTGCAAAATATAGGCTTTTAAGTATTCCTAATAACTTGTAAGCTGCTAGCATTTTTGGTGCAGGTTTTTCATACCACAGGCTCAGCTTATAGACTATGGAAGAGACAGGGATTCTGTTTACTTGGAAGGAGGTAAACTGGAGAAAGAAAAACACAAGCAGGTGCTATTGGAAATCATGGCAGTTAGAAATAAGAGTCTTGATACACACATGTGCATGCGTACATGGACACATGCACATTGGGGCAGGGAGAGGAAGGAAATTTAAGTGGAAGCTGACAGGTAAAACACACCTGTTGTGTTTTGCAGAAAATATGGAGCTAGCTATTGAGTGTTCAGTCCCTTGTTGGCTGAAACTGAAAAATGGAAGAGGAGATTAAACAAATGTCAAAAGGTTTGCACAACTGCCTTAGGAGGTTAAGCTGCTAGTGAGCAGGCATATAGAGGGAGTCTCTGAGTATCCTCAGAAATGTGTGGAGCTAGCTGCCAGCAGCACCCAGGGAATCTCCAGAGTGGGCCACACTGAAGTCACGCTGTCTTCTCAAACTCATTGTTTTCATGTGCATCAAATTAACTTATCCTGAGAAAGTTCGCCTGTCCTATTCAGAATGCAAATAATGAAAACCTGACCAGATGTCTGATGTCGACTGATACTCAGTTCACACTCTCTTTCTTGCCTTCCACAGTTTCGAAGAAGCTGGCCCCAATCCCTGCCAAGGTTCCTTATGGCCAGTCCAGCGGTATGTCCGATCAGTCCACGGGGCAGCCATCCCCAGCCAGCCTTTCTCCTACCCCACCGAGCACCCCGTCGCCCTATGGACTGAGTTACCCACAAGGTTATTCCCTGGGCTCAGGCCCACTGTCCCCAGCCGCTGCTCCTTCCCTGTCTTCTCCTCCTTCCCTGACAAGCACTTTAACCAAATCTCGGCCCACCCCCAAGCCACGACAGAGGCCCACGCTGCCGCCTCCACAGCCGCCCACATCAAACACATCTGGCTCTAGTCCACAGTCCACGGAGCACACCATACTAGACGGCATGTCCCCCGGGGAGAGCATGTCCACAGGTAACAAAGCAATGGGAGAAGGTCAACCTTCCGGGAAGGGGGCTGCTGGGATTGCTAGCAGGTGCAGAGGGAGCATCTTATGGGGTAGTTCTCTGCACTAGCATTGGTGGTCTTTCACATGACTTAAGAGACAGCTGGTGGCAGGCAGTATGCCAGAGTCTGCCCGGGCCACTGTAGTCTAGTTAAGAGTGAAGTAGCCAGCACTGTTATTGTTCTGGTTTGCACATAAACCTAATGACCACTGGGCCGTGTTCTGTCGACCAATTCTGATGCTTCTCCTGTAGGAACTGGCTTCCCCTCGGGCAGGCTCTGATGCTACTCAACTTGCTGTCTACAGCGCAGCGTGGGTTATGGAACAAACTAGCAAGGGGAAATACTCTTTGCCCGGTCTTGTGGCTAGGGAAGGAGCAGCACGGTCTGATTATTGCACCCTGCTGAGGATATGAAGTGGAGAGTTGAACTAACCCCAAAAGCCGCTTGCTGTCCAAGGATGATCTTGAGAAAAAGAGCCTGAAGTGAAAGCTGAGGATGATGTAGATCTTTTTAATTGGGGATTTATCCTGGAGCTTTTGAAGACAGAGACATAAGGGTCATTAATCCCTTCTTTCTTAGAGGACAGTGATGTGTCCCAGCAAGCACTGCTGTTCTCAGCAAGTCACTGTTTCACGGTGCTCGGAAGCGGCATTTCTGTTTGCAGCACAGCTAACCCTCTCGGCCTTCCTGCAGGCACAGCAGTGCTGCCGCTCCCACAGGCGCAGGCCCTGCATTCGGGTGTGGTGGAAATCTCTGTTCTGCAGAGCTCTGTCTTGGGATGCCCAGCTGAGTCACAGGGAAGCACTTGCTTTCTTTTCCTCCCTGCCACCAGGGCTTTGCGCTGGGCTGGGGAGTGACAAAGTCCAGCAGAAATCCCACCCACACTCTTCTGCCCCATCATTTCATTGTGCAAGCCACCTCTACTGCTTACACAATGGGGATTCGGCACTAGCAAAAATAAGGGAAATGCACCTTGCTAGAAGGAAGCAGGCCGAGTAAGGGAGCTCTGCCAACTTGTCTACTCCCAGAACTGAGTGTTTCCACTTGTTTCGGGGCTTCAAGAAGTGCTAAAGCTTCCTTATGTAACTGGTGGAAACCACTTGCTGAATGGAGTCGGCAGGACCCAGCAGGTGCAAGGGAAACTGGGCCCACATTGCCAGGTGTAAGAGAATCAGCAGGGTCTTAAGTGCCCCTTTGCATTTCAAATATGCAAATATGCAAGTGCAGCTCTTCAGTATTGCGGCCTGGCTGGTGCCAGGCGCTCTTTTGCTTTGCACATGGAAAGTAAATAGTGGTACTAGATGGTCCAGGGGGAAAAACATTATCATCTTTTGAAAACTACAGAGAAGTACTTTTGTGTCTTCTCCAGATTTGAGAGATGGCAGATCTGTCTAAATTTGGGGACTTCAACTACAGTTAAAATAGAAAAGCCGAGCAAAATTTCAGGCCTGATGAAGACTGCCTGCCTCTGGGTTTCCATACCCATATGGATGCAGCTTCTGTTTGGGTTTCAGTAGCCAGGCTCCCTCCCCTGTTAGCCAGTCCAGGGCAGATCCACCCCTAGCAGACAGGTCAAAAAGCCAGGGATGATGGGTACTCAAAATAGGTTAACCCATCTTCTGCAGCCCCAGGGGAATTATACTTTTAGCTGACTCCTCCCTATTAAGCAGAAGGCTTGAGCAGGCCTCCCGGTGACCTCCAGATGTCAGGCAGGTGCCGGTTGCTGTACCTCCTGCAAATGGCAGCTCCCATTGCGACAGTTGGTGAGTTATAAATGACTCATCTTCTTGTGCAATGTTTCCTTCCAAAGGATGGGCCCATGAACAGTGGAAGAACCACCTGGAGGTGGTTTCCCTCTGGAGGATAGGCAGGCAGGCAAACTGCTCTGATGGGCATTCCTGTTGTGTACTACTTGTGTGTCTTGTTGCTGCTGGTTCTCTTCTGTTCCTTTCTCCCAATCCTATTATTGTGTCCTTGCAGCTGTTTGAGGCACGTGATGCAATATTGGATAGGTGTGAGGGGAATGCTCAGGGTAAGCTGGAGTCCCTGCCCTCTTCCCCAAACCTTTCCCCTTCTGCCGCTGCCACCGTCGCTGCCACTGCCGCCACCCCTTTGCCCTGGCCTGACCTGACCTGACCTCTGGCTGTGCCTTCCCGTTTCAGAGTCACCCCTCCATTTCACTGGCCTTGCATGGGGCACGCTGACCCAGAGCTGCATGGCTGCTGAAGCCTGGCCCCCATCCCAAGTTTCCTGTTAACACTGTTGTTAGTAAACTTGGGAGTGCGCTTCTTCGAACCACTGACTGACCTTCATGCCTGGCACCTTTTTTATAGGAGGGCAAGTAACCCCATTTGACTAATTCCTTTCCGAGTCACAGGAATCACCTGCTCCTACCCTTGCCCTTTCCACCAACGTTGACTCTTCCTCTGCCATTCCGTCTGTTCTTTTCAAAGGGATGTCATGATATTGCCATGATTGAATATTAACAGTGCTCATTGTTGTGGGTGAGGTGAAATGTTCCAGGCCTGGGGTGCCCCAGGAGTAGGTCTAGGCCAAGGCTGAGATGTGTGCTACTCTTTGCAGGGTGTGGGGCTGAAGGACCCCTCTGTCACCCAGTAACAGAAGAGTTGAATTGGGAGGACAGTGCTCTTCAGCTCAGCCTGCACAGGAGCCTCCTTATCCAGGAGAAATGAGTTATGTTCTTATCGCTAAGTCATTGGAATGCTCCCAGAGTCACCTCAGTGGAAAACTGTGTGACGAGGGAGATTTTTGTCTATATTGCAAGCACCCTCTGCCACTTACAAGTGCTTAGAATGTATAGCTCAGCCTCTCGCTTGCACCATGGGTGTGTTTCCCTGTTACCTTTCTAGACCAAGTTGTAACTCTAAAAGAAAACTCATAAAGTGGAAAATGTCTCCCAATAAACAGGGGTCAGGGCTTGCTGTATCCTGACCAAAACAGCAGACTTGTGGGAGATTATGGGACATGGCAAATAGAAAAACTAGATCCCACAAGTATGTCCAGATGATTAAAGGCAGCATTTGTTTCAAGTGGTATTGGTTGCTGGTATAAAGTTACCATCCTGTGGCCTGCTGATAGGCAGGACAGGCAAAAGAACTCAGTGAGTCCTGAAAATGAGAATTTCAGCACCAGGTGTGCCAGAGTTTAGTGTGCCTCTGCCTCAGCCCTGGGTCTTGACTGGGCAGCTATCAGAGTATGGACTGCAGGTGGCAAAGCCAGAGGGGCAAAGGGACATGTCTTATCCTCCCCACTGCTTTTGCTAATTTCCTTTGTTAAAAAATCAGAAGTATTGGTGCAAGTGAAGCACCTATCTATCCAAAGGGCATACATACAATACTCAGTAAGCATTGTATGGTGCACAACGATCGAGCAGGCTGTGATCCTCTTACAGAGGATTCACTCAGTCCTGTGCACGTCTATCCGCCCTCATTTATTGGTTTCACATGGGGTTTTTCCAGGCAAGTTTGTCCTGTGGATCTTTTCATTAGATGATTTGTGAAGGCCAATTATATAATTATGTGCTTCACAGGGACTTAAACAAATGCAGTTCTATTAGCTGAGAAATAAGTGAAAGTAGTGGGGATGCTTTTTCTGTCCAAGCTGTCCCATATGGCTGACTAGAAGGTAGGAGTGACAAGGATGATATGGCATAATGTATTGGACAGTCATTGTGGAGCTCTTGGAATAGATCAGGTTGTGTGTGGGCAGGGGCATTGTCTGCTCAGAACAATCCAGATGCCGTTTTTTGTTAATAGCTAAGCAAGCCCACCATTTCCCAAATCCTCCATTTAGAAGTGTTCCTTCCTCAATTTCTAACCGCTGTCTGAATTTGGCCACAGTCTAAATGCCACCTAGGAGTCATTTCACATTATTCAAGAGAGAGGCATTTATAACATGTCTGTCATACGAAGATTGCAACAGCTGGGTGAGAAATTCATATACATACTTTGGCTCCTGGATGTGGGTTTATCCATGTCTACAAACAATATTCTCTCCAAACATGTGGGTACACATCATCATCTTTTTTACGCCTTAAAGAGTGGCCCCAGGTTACTGTTTGGGAAAAAAATGGCTTCTCTTTATTTTGGTGTTTTGAGATAAACAAGAATCAAAACAACTCAGAATTAAACTATGTCTGCCTTGGTCAAAAGCATCAAGAAAAAAACTTATCTGGGAAAGTTTAAAGATATCCTTATTTCAGTCAGCTCTTCAAGGGAATATTTGCACAGTTTCTTTCTGAGCCAAAATCTGCATATTTTTTATCCACAATTGATCAAATTCAATAAGTAAAATTGATCCATGTGTCTATTTCTAGAAATACATCTAGGAATACTATGCCCTCACAAGCACAGGAAATAGAAATCTGACCCCTGAGAAGTTGGTGGGATACTTACCAATTTGAGGTGCATGGGGTGAGGCAGGGATCGAAAATGTTATGAAAAGTATGTATTGCTGCAGCCTTGGCCAGCGAGGCTCCCTCACTTAGGAGATCAATTTGCAGCAAGGCTGTCGGGGGGGGGGGGGGCTTCAGCACTTGGAGACCTTGCCATGTGGATGCCTCCCTACCAAATGAGGTACATATTTTGCCCAGTGGCATTTTCAAGTGGTCATGCGAGTAACTTCACAAGTTACCAGCCCACAGCAATGTCTTCAGTCATTCATGGCACACAGACAGTAAAAGAGGGAGAAGGAAATCTCTCTTTCCTTTTCCAAAGGTTTCCTGCCCCACTTCTCACACAGATAACTAGGCAGGCAGCTATTTAACAAGCACCTGTTTGAGATGAGGTTGCAGGGCATTTCACCCCAACCTTCAGGACATACAGGCATCCACTGGCTGCTGAGCTGTGTTTGAGGGAGCCCAGGAGATCAAGGAGCATGTAGCCTGGAACGGAGTCCTGGGAGCGGAGGCCACTTGCAGGGAAGGCCTGGTGCTGAAGAATGTCAAAGCATGAGGTGTGAATAGAAAAGATATTATGACATCCCTTTTCTCTGGCATTAGCAGGCTCTGAGAACGGTACTTAGTGCTCAGTTAAGTTAAAGCTTCAGCTCCTCTGTCAGTTTAGTATATGTACTCGCAGGTGGGGAGGTGTGCCACAATGTGATAATAACAGCCTGTGTTCCTCTGTCTGTACCTGCTTGCAGATCTAGCCCACCTTGATATACCTTCCATCCATGTAGAGGCCGATGCCACGCTTCACCTGGACCCGCTGGGACAAGTCCAGAGACATCCAGTACAAGGAAAAATCAATTCAGAGGAGGATTCAGAAAGCACCGCCCTATGACACGAAGTCCCTTCTTCCTCTTGTATGCTCTTGTACATATCAATGCCCCACGAACACTACTGAAGGAGATGTGCCCAGAGACCTTGTCAGGGGGTGTCTCTTCTGGCGTTCCAGTTGCCAACCACCTGTGTGAGACTGACAGCCCCGTGGGCCTGGTGCTAAGCCTGTCTCTGTGGCAAAGGGCATTGCTGGTGCAATTTCCATTAATTTATTTTTTCTCCTGTTTGTTTAGCCTTATCCAATTTTTGCCTTTTTGACGTGGTGCCTATTTATCTCCCTTACATGCTTGGGGCCCTTTCAAAATAAGTAGTCTCAACTGCAGATCCCTTTCACTCCAGCCTTGGAATGAAAGACATGGGTAGGAAAACAGCAGGCTGGCTCACTGGGGGAGTTCCATAGAAGGCGCCCATCAGGTTTGGCTTACTGGCCTTGGCAAGGTCTTCCCTTTTAGTCAGCTCCTGCTGTTGCTCCAGCTGCCATGACTGTTTCCCCCTGCTAAGCCAATCCACATATGCTGGTTCATGGTTCCCGTCCCTGCGGATTGGCCAAGGAATGGAACTCCTTTTTGTTCAGAAGGGGAAGGCAAGCAGGACCCTCCAAAGGGGAAGGCAAGGCAGCCCCCCTCCCCAAAAGCCTGTTTTCTGAAATGCAAAGCAAATAGCATTTGGGGCAGCATGAATCCTGTGTAAGCCTCCAAAAGGAAAAGGGAAAAAAGCATTTCACCCTCTATGAATCATTTATAAATCCATTATTCCCCAGTTATGTGGGCCTGCCCTTCTTTCGTTCCTTCTTCCTTTTGTGTGTTTGCCTCTAGTTAGCAGTGAGAAGCTCACAGAAAGGGATGCAAAGGGACTGTTGCTGGAGGAAATGTAGCATTGCTTCATTTGGCCGGGGTCAGGAGAGGGAGGGAGGGAGTGGCAGCTCTGATGTGGGGTAGGTGACGTTTCCCATATGTAGAGAAGCAGTTACTCACTTAGCAATAAAAGTGTTCCCAAATGTTTCCCCTGCAGCATGATGCGAGAGGTGGAATTTGGCCATGTGGAGTTCTTGTTCACCAGCGGCATGGACTAATTCCCCATTCCCCTTCTCTCAGCCGAGTGTTCATGCCTTAATGACAGGCAAAAGGGAGATGAACTCCACCAACAGAATACGTTTGCAGTGGCTGGATTGCAGCTCCCTGTAGTGTTTAGCCCAGGGTCCAACTGAGTAGGGTAGAGCTCTTGGCTGTGCATGCAAAGACAGATGTAACCTTTTATCCCTTTAAAAGAGATGAGAGAGAGATATATCTGCCAAGATAGATATATATTTGTATATATAAAGTCTATAAATATATATATTTGATTTATTTGGGGCCATTCCATCTGAACGGGTGTACAAATTTACAATGTAAATTTAAATGCTTATAATTCTTCCAACACACACAATTTATGGTAAATGTCTCCAAACTCCTTTTTGGTAGCATTTTTGCAAGTCTGGATGCTCTTGCTTTGCCACAGGCTGTGATAATGTGTAATTCATCACCCAAAACGGAAGAGGCAGGAAAACAGGTGCAAATTCTTACTAAAAGGTGGTGGTGGGAGGGTGGTATTCTAACTACTCTCCCCAGTTCTGGTCACTCGGTGTTTTTGCCGCTCCCACGGGAGCCACACACCCAGACCAAGCACTGAGCAGCCCCTTTCTTGGGGGCATCTCCTGCTTTCTCCATTCCTGCCCCAGCCTCTCCATTCCCTCAACTTATGGTGTCATTAAAGTACAGTTAATAACTTTTGTGGTATCTCTGTTGTCTATGTTTTGTTTCATTTATTCATTAGGTTCTTAGACCTTGCTTTTCATGACAAAGGCGTCCCTCACAAAAAAAAGGGTATTCCCATGGTGGCTGAGCATGATGGGAACTGTGGCACCTTTTTTGACCCAGCATGCATAGGATTGTGCCCTTAATGTCTCAATAAAGTCCTCACTCAGTATATTATACAGTACAATAAAAACAGCCGTCTCAAGTGGGAGCGGAATCACAGCTCCTGCATTAACTGCTTGCTTTGCCCTCTAGACCCCACATAGTACTTGGGCCTCAAGGGCCACTCTCTCCCTTGTGAACTGACCCCACATCTCAGAGCTCCTCTGCCACTGGAGAGGGAGGGCCTGATGGGGATAGACGCCTCTTCATGTGGTGGGCTCACTTTGCAGGGCAGCCTCTGTTCCGCCCAATGAAGGCAGCTCTTGAGCTGAAACCCCACATGCATTTCCAGGCACTTTTCACTTTACTCAAATCCCTGTTCCACTTATCAGGCATAAATACTATCCCTCAGTTATGTCTGTCCTGCTTTAAACATGAGTATATCCCTTCCAGAGACAATGCACTTGTTTAAACCCTTGCCAGGCCCAGCTACCCTGAGCCTGTGCCTGGATGTAGCCCTCCTTCAAAGCGACTGGCACCCAATTAGGGTCACCCTCCTTTCTGTGCCACCGGCACATCCAGTTCTCTGCCACTTTCATGGATACCTAATAAGTGAGTGGGGCTCCTTTACTGAAGTAGCATTTGCACCAATGTTGGTAAAGGGGTGTGCCAGGTTGCTGGTGAGGTTGAGCGGACTTTCCCCCAAGTTTCTCATCTTACGGGGGAAAAGATCAGGGGAGGAACTGACTGTGCCTTGGATGTTCATGGAAAAGGAGAGTAATACAGAGTCACAACTGGCAAGCCTCCACCCTAGTACTGAAGGAGTAGGAGGTTTAAAAAAGAAGCAAAAATGAGCCACTCCTGCACCCATTTTTCTGCTTCTGGGTTCAGATACGGCCCTGGCATAGCTTGCTTTTGCCAGTTGCACCCTTCTGTGTGTTGGTGTGAAGAGTGTCTTGAAACAACAGAAGTAGGAGAGAGTGGGGTAAATATGCCTCAAGGTTAGGCATTCTCCTGTATCTGAGCCTTAAGTGCATGTGCAGCTAAGAGTGGCCCAGGACCTGCCATATGTTCCTGTAAAACATGTAATGGAAACCTTGGAAGTCAGGCCATGTTTCAGACCCAGAGGAGCATTTAACTTGGTACCTGCCAGCTCGCAAGGTGGCTGGTATGAGGGTCTATGGCAGATCCAGAACTCGAGCCAGGTTATTCCCTGCTTCTGTCTCCACAAGCTTTCTAAGAAATGATTAGATGCTGGTTGATCATCAGAGCCCAGAGAGTTTCAGGGTTTGCTGTAATAGATGGAAATGCACTTTTTAGAAAAATGACTCCACCATATTAAAAAAAATTACCTGGCCCCTTTAGAAGAAGCCGGTACCAACTGCTATTTCAAACTCATTCAAGAGCCCTGGTGCAGGCCCTTCGGTAATCTGCTGTTCCCTTTCTAAAAGAGCATCGGATTGACTAAGACCTACAGACAGGTGATTTCAAGATATTCCTCTGTTGCACAGGTGGGCAACTTGTGCCTCTCCAAAAGTTTTGGCCTATAACTTTCAGAAGTCCTATCTAATTGTGAGAAATGAGGGGAGTTGTAGGCCAAAGTATTTGGAGGGATGTAAGTTGTGCATTCTTGCAGTGTAGGAATACTGGATCTCAGAAGTGTGTGGGTACCCTATTTCGTGCAAGCAGTTCATACAGTAAATGATGAACCATTTCTTCTAAATCCATGGTTTCCCCAATGACATGTATGTTTGGCGCTTCCCCTTTAAAGAAAATCTTGGTTCAAGGAACAAAGTTGGGAAAAATTAATCTGCTCCATGGGGTATAAGAGTACAGATGCTAGCAGCACACTTTGAAGGTCCCTGGAGCCAAGGGTCAACTTTGCAGGGCAAAAGATAACACCAGGAAGTATCTACAGCAGCTGTCTGGATTCTTGGTAGCTTTAAATTGCTTTAAACTGGAAACAAATCACAAACCCTGAGAACAAAAGGTAGCCCACCCTGGGAGGTTGAATGCTTAGCATTGTCAGCCTCTCCTTTTCTATACTAGCTGTTACTTACTTTCTTTGGCTCGGTTGGCCTACAATTGCTAACAGGCTGAGCATAATGGTTGTTGGAGTCTATCACATCAGCAGGGCAGCACATAGGAAAAGTTGTGCTGCATCAGAGCCAGGGACCATGTGGTCCAGCGTTCACAGCACAGCTGAATGTGAGGAAGTCCTGCAATTCCAGAGCAACACAAATCTTCATGCTTTCCACCAGCAGGATTGCCAGTTTTGTCTGGCTCTTTCCACTGGCCATTGACAAACCTCTCGTCTGCCGTGGATGCCTCAGTCAAAATGTCAAGCATGCATTCATGGCTTTCTACCAACACTGTAAACCAGTTGGGACAAATACATTTTCGCATTTCAATTTATTCCATATATGAATTGTCCTAGCATTAAAGTTCTTAATCGAATCTTGCCCTCATGAGGAGTAGAGTTCTTTTCGAGCAACCCATTCCAGACGTGGTTTTAACCGCTCTGTCAAAGGCCACATGATTTCTGTTTTGGAGAGAGAGAGAACGAACTTTTAGAAAGGGTTCAGATTGTTGGTAAACTTTGCTCAGCCTGCTATGGGGTGTGTGGGTGGATGCCTCAGTTTTTGTGTCTAGAGCCAGCTGTTTTGGAGTTTGTGGTGAAAGGGAATTTTTAGCATTCCCAAATCTTGTTGCTCAGCAACAGCAATGCCCGCCATTCTTAAGCAGCAGGAATATACAACTCATCACATGTCGGCATATGTGAGTGCAACCTAACTACTGGATGAAGGTGTGCATGCCTGTGCACACACCGAATGTACAGCTCTTGCACTCACCATGGGAGGCTTCCTTATGCAGACAGCATTAGCACATTCAAAGCCAAGCCATGTTAGATACTTGGACTGTTAGGAGCCGGTTTCCCTTTGTCCCTGTCCAGCACTGGGTCTGGGCATATACAAGCAAAGCTCTAACACAAGGTGCTTTGAGGGCATTGACTGAAACAAGGTGTTCTTCCCAAAAGTGTGTGCTAAAGGGTCTCAGGGAATGACAGTTACCCATATGTAGAGCTGTCCTCTTCCTCCTCCTCCTGAATTTTGCAAGTGGACAAACCACACTCATTTGATGAACAAGCAACAAGGACAGTGTGTATAACTTACACAGCACAGGGAGAATTAGTAACTTCTTATGGCTTGAGCCCACTGAGAAGCAGTTTGTGTGAACATTGTAACTGAAGGTCAATTTCTTCCTTCATTTTAGTAAAAGAACTTAAAGCAGTGATCCTATATCCACTCCCAAACTCAACAAAACTGCTTCTCAATTATATGTAGGATTGCATTGTAAAGATACGTTGCTTTACATAAGTTAAACTTGGATTTCTCATCTACCTCCCAGTTTTACCTGACTACATTTAAAGGGCTTGTTCACTGGGATGGGAGTGATGGTGCCAAAGAATCTAGCTCCTTTCCATAGTTTCTGCATACTGCTCTTGTGACCTAAATGCCTGCCTTCTTAAAAAGAGTTCAGCTGTTCAGCCATTCCTTTCAGTAAAACCCCTAAGTGGTTGCTAGAAAGCATTTGGTGGAATAAGCATGAAACTGTAACTTGATCTTACTTGACCCCCGGATTCTAGGCCTGCCTCTTGTGCTACGCTTGTGGGTACAAAGGTCGATAAACTGTTGCATTTTAGGATCACGCCAGAAATCTCTGTGCTGTGCAGTGTTGCATGTTCACACAAACCTGTGCTTGTAGCGATGCAATGAATATGGCATACAAAGTAAGATTCCAGAGCTGCTGCTCCTATAGCAACGGACAGGGATACTAATGGTGCAAGTAGATAAAAGCTATTCCTGTGCCTAGTAGGTGGAATTAGTCTAGTAGCGAGTTGCCTGTGAGTCTACTCATGCACTGGAAAGCGCCATGCAAGTGCCAGCATGCACCGGGACATATGCAGCTCACTATACTGTACCTTGTTTGTGGTGTTTGAAGAACTTAAATTGATGTTGGATCATTGCTTCGAAACACAAGCCCTTTGAGCAAAACAAGGGCTATATAAATTGCAACCCTGACTTACTCCAAACTGAACTCAATCAAGGGTGAAACCTTTTGTGTTTCTCTTGGCAAGTTAAAGAAAAACAGAACAGTAAAATCTCACTGGAGAATAAGGTCCTAGTCACTTTTTGATGCACAGAGACCACAGCAAAGAATTATGTGGACCCCCTCCTTTCATGCTTCTTTAAGGCAAGGGTGAGCACGCTCCAAGCTTATGAGGTCTACTTTGTTTTTTCTTAGGATGCTAGGATTAATCAACTGGATCCATGTGCAAAGCAGTGGCCCAGAAAGAGGGTTGGACATATTCTTAAAATTCAGAAACGGGGAACTGTTACATCTTACTTGTTTTCAGTAATAGAACTGACCTTATAGTCCTTTAAAACAAAATTCCATTCCTGCTTTCCCCCCAGGTTTTCATTTCAGCAGATTGATGGAGTGGGCGGATGAGGATACTGGTGAGGGATGCTTATGTCCTTGGTGCTCTATGGAAAATCACCCAGAGATCTACCAGTAGGTGCCAAGCTACCTTCTACCCACTCCCTCCTTGGTATGTATGGACTCGTATTTACGTCCCCATGCGGCCATCAGAGAGCAAGAGCTAAGATCAAAACCTTCCTGTGATGTCAAGAAATTCAGTTTGTCACCCCCTCAAACGATTCTTGGCAAATCTAAAAAGTGAGAAAAAAATCCTGGTCCTGGTAGTAGAAGGAGGTATGCATCATACCATGACCATTCAGTGCTGTACAAAGTGTCCAATTGAACAGGAGTCAGAAGAGCCACAACAGGGCTCTCTCTTGGTGATCTTCTTCACCATCATCATCATCCAGTCGAACCATGGAATCAGAATCAGATCCAACATGAGAAAGAATCAGCTAGGATCGCAACTCTGGCAGAGGGACTTGCCCCCGTGCCATTGCTTCAGATTAGAAAGCCCCCCACCCCCAGCTGCTAATTTGTCCTATGGGAGAAATTGGATACTGATGATTTTTCAGACTTCAAATAGCATAATACTAAAAAAATTAATGACACCTAATCACAGGTCTCCCACATCACATCTGGCACAGGCATAAGAGTTAGCTGTTTCCAATAATGACTCATCTTGAATGCATTTGTACCTGAAGTGTGACATATAATTTATGTAAATAAACACATAGTCTTCCGACTGGTCCACCTGGGAAAGGCAGTTCCTAGAGACCCATGAGCTTCTGGGTTCCAGCCACACTGCTCCTGTAGACAGAAAACTTGGCACACTGGCCAACACCCTCTCTGTCCGATGGCTTGGCTGTACTTGAAGCCTGTGTGTTCCTCCTGTTTGCTTTGTGGCCTTGTCACCTTCCTCCCAAAATCCTGCCACATCTGCTTCTTCCTTGCATCCCCTCAAGATATTCAGTTCTCATTACTGGAAGCCTGCCAGGGATGGGGAGCTTCCAGTCCACAAGCCTGATTCAGGCCGTTGCACTCTTGGATCCAGCTTGCAGCCTCCCTACCAGGGGCCAATAGGCTGACCACCCCTACCCCCACCCCCCAGGGCAGGATGAGTCCAAATAGCAGGCTGGGGACATGGTGATGAACAAAAACTCCTGGCATAGTCTACCTCTCACAGAATGAGAGGGAAGTGGCAATGATTCTGGGATTTAAAAAAGTAAAAAAAGCTTCCCAGCCAGCACAGAAATAAAGATAGACCATACCTAGGTCTGTGGAGGTTCCAAATGCATCACATCATGTAGATGGCACAAAACCACACCACAAAGCATGGCCATCACTCTGGCAGGAAGATTCAAAACAAAGCAAAAGGGCTGGCTTTATGAAAGGATACTCCTTTCGATGGCAACTTGAGCCTCCTAATTTGAGCATTTCTGGGCATTTCTGCAGCCATTTGGCTGAGGGCTGCTGAAGGAAGGTGCACTGGCTAGGTAAGCACCCACAAGGTTCGACCAGGATCCGTGCAAACGCTTCGGTAACAACAGGGCTTTGCAAAGGAGGCTGCATGGAGCGTCACAGCTGCCCCTTTCCGGTAGCTTCACAAACTGAATGGAGGCTGCTTTCAAGATTGCTTCCTCTGGCATTTTGAGTTTCATTTGATTTGCAAGAAACCCGAGGCAAGACAAACTACTTTTCAGTGTCCAGAACTCTCCAGGCAATTCATAAATATTCTTTGAGGCAGCTCCAGAGGCCAGTTTGCTCCTCCAGTTTCTGAGCCTTACATTTAGTTTTGTGTTTTACATGAGGACTTTCATTCCATATTTTACAGAGACCTTGCCTTTAAGACTTTGCAGTCCACATTTTGAGGACTTGCCTTAAGTACACAGGCACTCTCACCTGTTTACTGGCCTTCAAAATAAGTGCAGGAATGCATATCCTGCTGCTGTTTTTCATGGCCACCTGTTTAGGCCCACTATATTTGCAGTGTGATTGTTTCCCAGTGAGGCCTTGATCCCTTAAACTCCTCACATCACAAGATGGCTGGCTATGCACTTGCCTCCAACCTTGGTCCCTACCTAGCCTGCCAGAATTGGACTGTACCTGAGTCTGTCGAGATGTCTACAGGTGAGTCAAAAAGATGCAGGTATTCAGCTGGACTCAACAACTCTTGGCATTCCAGCAGGTAGCAGATGGTGCCTTGGGGGACAATGAGCTCTGGTACCTTCTCCAGGATGGTGTCTGGGAGGTTCTTGGGGCTCTGAAGATCAGAGAAGAAGGAAGTTCTCAGATTCAGGTACATTCTGTGGTCCAATATATGAAAGTATGAATATTGCCATCTGCACCATGTTTTGCTGGCTTGCCCAGTTTGATGAAGCTTGGGTCACTTATCGCTTAGTGCAATGAAGAAGCCAGGAAATTCTAATGCAGACACCTGCTTCCTACCCTCCGAAATGTGTAAAACCAGATGGCCATGGCAGCACTGTGGTCAAATTGCTTCCTTTCAGTGGGGAGGAGGACATTTTTCTGCTGAGATGGGATGCAGGGGTCTTGTCCCCAAGTCCTCTTTCATACTGCTAATGTGTTAGGAATGTGTGTTTTAAGGGAAAGGGGCAATTTTGGAATTGTTTAGGAGCAAACTGGGGGTGACTGTACTCCAAAGGAAGCATCCGTCCACTCCCTTCACTGTAGGCAGTGCCTGGCACTGACACCAATGTGTGCAAACAGGGGAGAACTATGAGGGGCCCTGCCAGCTCGGTCTCATGAAAAGGTCCCCATGGTACCTCTGGCAAACTGTGGCCCTGATCTCACTGAAAGCTTCCACAGCAACAAAATCACAGCTGCCATTCATTCCAGTGGGGATGAAAATGCCATGCACTGCCCTGGGGGCAGCACTACAACAGGTACAAAATCTGTTGTACTAATGTGCGACAATTTGGTCACTGCTGAGAAAGCCTGCCATGAGGGGGCATGGTGGAAGCCCGGCTCTACCACCCAGTCCCACCCCTGTCATGACAATAGCTGGGGGTCCTCCTCTTCTGTAGGGGTCATGCATACATTAAGAAACCAAATCCCACAGGGACTTTGCCAGGAGGAATAGGAAGGGAGGGAGGGAGGGAGGGAAAGGAAAGGAAAGGAAAGGAAAGGAAAGGAAAGGAAAGGAAAGGAAAGGAAGAAACAAGCAAACTCTGGCCTTCATTTTTCCTCCCTCTCTCTGCCAGCCAAGGTCCCTGCCCTACTCACATACATGAAGGGACTGGATGGAGGACAATCTGAGGACACTCTGGGAGGCCATTGTGATTTTTGATTGCCCACTGTTCCTGTCCCTTCAGCTTTTCAGGCAGATCTTAGCTGGCTGAGGCTATCAGAGTAGGAGATGCTGAGGACTGGAAGGGAGCCACCAAGCCTCCAGCCACTGGCTCTCACTTCTCCATGACTGAGAACACAGCCCATCTCCTTTCCCTGCATGGCCTCACATCAGAGGGACACAGTTATCTTGCAAAGGGATGAGGGCCAGCTTCTAAGACTAGCCTTTCCCCAACATGCTGCCCTCCAGATGTACTGGACAACTGTTCCTTGAATCCCCAGATAATACAGGGATGAGAGGAGGTGCCATCCAACACATGTGAACACATGGCTCTGGGGACAGGCTGCTCTCATGCTTCCCTGTATGTGAGGCGGATGGGCCCCATAGTTTCCATACTAACAGTCGGTAGCAATGCTAGATTTATGAGGGCTAAAGCGGCAATAATGGTAACGAGCACTGATGGTGTTAACAAGTACCAAAGACAAAGGGTTGAGGGCCCCTACCTTGGGGTACTTCTGCAGGTGCATTCCAAGTTTCAGGAGCACTGCCAGGCATTCACAGACAATAGCCTCAGCTGGCTCCTCATGAGGCATATCATAGCCCAGCTGCGTCCCTGGCATATTTAGCACCTTGTAGTTCCACTGCTGGAAGAGTCGGATGGGGAGATTATGTGACATTATAAGGATCTTGGCATCCAGGATTAATACTCTGAAACAGGCCAAGAAATCACAGATCAGGTTCAACATCATCTTAAATATCTGGGAGAACAACTGAGGGTGGTGTAATTCATTACAGTTAATCAGGTGAGAAATAATCCTTTCCCACCCCACAGTAGGCTATTGACCTGACTGAGAACTCCTTCAGACATTCACAAAACACACAAAGTAGTAAAAAAAACCTCTGCACATGGCAGTGTGCTCTCAAGGATTTTCTAGCTCAGCTTTCTTCCCTAGATACAGCAGAACTGAGGACTTTCACAAGCCTTAAAAGAACGAAGATACAAAACATGAAAGGTTGGAAGTTCGGCCCCAAATGGTGAAATAGCCTCAGAGAGAAGCAGTGAGCTCCTGTAAGATTCTGATATCCTGGGCCTGGTGTTTTTTAAGGAAAGCTTCACACCTTAGAATGGGGGGGTGGGCCCCTGCTCTCAGGTCTGAACCTGCCCATACCATGAACTCTCATCTCTTGGTTGCTCAGCTCCATCAGGTGACCCGGAGGTTCTATTCAGCTGTGTTCATCCCCTTATAGAATTTGCCGCAACAGTTTGAGTCAATGACCATGCATGTGTCAAATGCCGTCCAGTCTCTCAGCACTAGGTTCCACTTTCATCTCAGTGGTCCTCCAAAGAACAGAAAACGGCACACATGGCCCTTCCCTCACAAGAACCCTATGTGATAGGCTAGGCTGAGAGATCTAACCAGTCTGAGGTTACACGGGAAGCTATGCAACTTGGCCAACATTTTTTGGAAGCTCATGAAATCAGTCTTCTTAGCATAGCCAACAGGAAGCATGAGCAGCACAAGGCTCGCTCCTGTATTCTGGAAATCAAGGCACCAGGCTGGCATGTCAGCCCAAAATCTATGGATCAGTATTGTTTAATTGACAAGCAACCCGTGGCCCCCACTCGCTCACCTCTGCTGCTGCTCCACGTCCCGCAGGTCCCGCAGAATAGAGTAAAGCACATCGCTGGATGCCTGAAAGAAAATCAACAGATCAAGCTAAAACAGCAGCCTAACAACAAAGCAGGCAATAAAGTGGGAGCTGGGGAAACTCATGGGAAAAACCCAGTCACACAGTGAACCAACCAGCCTATTGTTTGGACCGTCCAAGGGTTAGTAGCCCTGTGGCAGAGCTGCAACTTTACATGCAGAGGGCCCCAGGTTCAATCCCCAGTGTCTCCGGGTACAGCTGCAGGTCAGGGGCAGCCCTCTTGCAAACCCTGGAGAGCTGCAGCCAATCAGTAGGCAACACAGAGCTAAATGAACTGAGGTTTTTCCAAACCCACAGCTCATAACACTACCTGTCAAAGGGCTCTGTTGAGCATTTCCATCTTTCCCTCGTTAAGAGATGTTCTGTGGTAAGAAAAATGAGAGGAGACATGCTGCCAAAGCAAGGGAGCATTAGGAATAGAAAAGGAGAACGTGGCAGTCCATGAAATGAGGCACAACGAAAGGCCCACTTGGAAGCCCACTGTAAGGACATGTCCCATGCAGCTCTTGGCTGCTGGGTTGGGCTCCAAAAGGTGGGTGGGGGGCAAGACACTTTGTTACCCACAAAGAAGGCAACCCTACAAAACTGACTATGCAAGATTGCACAGACAGGTTGATGCAGGGACAGTCTTCATTTCTGGCCTCCCTTTCAGCTGGCTGAGCATCCTTGGCATAAAAAGCAGAAGGCTGAGTTAAGGCACTGTTGGTCTCCAACCAAACCATTGAATTCCAAGCAGCTAAGTTCAGAGCACAGCATGGTCTTCAGTCCTACCTCACTGAACATCTGCACTAAACGTTAGGAAAGCTCCAGGCAGAGAACCTTACGCACAACTCTCCCCCATGACATAGAATGGGCAAGCACCCCAATTCTGACAGAAGAGATGACTGAGGCAGTCATAAGGATGCACAAGAATTTCAATTCTGTTTGAAAATCATGCAAACACGTCTTAAGCACAATCATGAATGCATGCAGGAACACTTCTCCTTTTTTTGCCCATTCCTAAATTTGTTATCAAGCTTGGAAAGCATGTACTTTTTGAAAAATGAACATTTTTCAACAAGTATACATGTTCCCATTTTGGTCAAATGGGGGAGCGGGGTGTGGATGTGCACCCTGGAAAATTGTGAACAGAAATGAGTACTTTTCTCATTTGAAATGCAAACAAACTGAAAAAGAGGTAAAAATACAAACAGGAACAAGCCAAACTGAGCTTTGAAGTGATTTGCAGAAACAGGCCTCAAAATGGCTGGTTCTTGCATCCCTAGAAAGTCATAATAGGGCTTTGTGCATGACTCATTCCGACTTCATGCACTAACTGCGTTACTCAAACCTTCCTGAACAACTCAGCTGAAAACCAACCAAATTGCCTCAAACATGAAGCCAACAAACAAAATGGGAGACTTTTTGCTTAGTCAATAAGGGCGCTGAAGAGAAGCAGCTGTTACCTGGCTCCAGTTAAGATGTTTTCTCTACCAGAACTACCAGAACTCCACCCCATCAGTGGATTCATCTCAGCCTCCATTTTGTTCGCTCTACAAGAAAGTTCACTGCCACCCTCTTCTCAGCCGCCGTGGCCTCAGCAGGCGCTAAGGAGAAAGCAGGGCAGGGTGTGCGAGCCCAGCGATGCGTGAAAGGCATTGCAGCACAGAGGGTGTTCAGTGAGGGCCTTCCTGGTGAGCGAGGGGTGCAAATCGTGAGCATGAGCTTTCAGACAGAGAGAGATTCAGAATGGAGCAGCAGGGTGGTGTCTGGGATTTAGAAGGCAGCTTCCATCGAGGCTCTGTGCGTCAGGTTGCCAACTAGCCCTGGGGCACTGTGGTAGCCGGATGTTTGGTTTGGCTGACAGCTAGCCCAATGTCCCGGAGTGGCAAGGCTCTTTCCCCCATTAGGCACATGCAAACAAGCACACACAGGTATTGCGTGCGCAGGTGCGCACACTATTTCTGTTCTGGCAGCCCTCCCCTTGAGGAGATCCTGGCAGAAAGAGGAGGGAGGAAGCAGGAGAGGAAGAGGCCTTTTGTGGCTTCCTGCCCTTGCCAACGCGCATCCCAGCCTTTGGGAGGGTGGCCAAGGTGAGAGTGAACTCATGGAGTGGCATCAGCCTGAGGGTGGATTTGGTAGCCTGTGGGAAGCATGTGAGGGAGCCATTCATGATCCATCCCACACAGTTTATTTCTCAAGACAATTGTTTTAGTCCTCTGTGTCTTCAAAGTTATTTTCTACTCTGTGTATGTGTGCGTGCGTGTGTGTGTGAGAGAGAGAGAGAGAGAGAGAGCACTCACCTCCAATATGTGTACAACGTATGTGGGGTAGAGCAGAAGCAAACCTGTGACTCCTTCACCCTGATAGCCACAAGAAGGCAGGCTCGTAAACAGCTGTTCCCAGTATGCTGAGGAGAAAGGAATAAGGCCGGCATAAACAGATTGTTCCCGCCATAACACGCCAACCCCAATAGAGCGAGCAGCGCGGCTGGGTGATGTGGCCGCCCATCCCCTTCCTTTCTGCCATTTTGCACAGCTAAATGCCTGTTTGTAAAGCCAGTTGGGCAGGAGGGTGGGCGACACAGCCAAGTAGCAGTGGAGCAGGAAGCACGGGGCCTACTAGACTTCCAGGATACTTTTTAAAGGCCCTGTCCCTGGATAAGGACACATTCCTCCTAGGCCTGTGTTAGCATGAGAACATAAGAGCCATGCTGGATCAGGCAAAGGATCCATCTGCTTTCGTGTTCTTTTCACACAGCGGCCAAACCAGCTGCCCACAGGGCCTAGCAGCAGGATCGGAGCACAACAGAGCCTCCTGCCAGGAGCAACGGATGTGCCAGGGCCTCTGTCTCTGAGGCTGGAAGGATGACATAGTCATCAGCCCTAGCAGCCATTGATCGCCTTCTCCTCCATGAGTGTGTCTCTTCTAAAGCCATCCAAAATGGTGGCCATCACTGCCTCTTGGGACAGTGTATTCCAAGGTTCAGCTGTGTGGATATGTGAAGGAGGACTTCCTTTTATCTGTCCTAAATCTACCACCACTGTCTTCACGGGAAGACCCTGGCTCCTAGTATTCTGAGGGAGAAGAAACATGTTCCCCTCTCCACTTTCTCTGCCTCAGGGCTCTGCAGTAGCACTTGTCCCACAGTTTCCTCTGTGCTAGTGATCAGCAAACACAGTTAGCTAGATACAAATTCTCTCTCCCTCTCCGCGTCTCTTCTCCCAGGGTATGTTGCAGAAAGGACCACCGGCAGACTCTTAGCTCACTGAGGCCCAGGACCCCCTTATTAATGGGACCCATCCCATTTTAAAACCTTCTGTTAGAAAGTTTGCTCTTGAGGGAGGTAACAGGAGGGTTTTTCCATAGCACTTACCAGCTAAATCCCTTTTATCTGCCAGATCTGGTGAGATCTTGGCCAGGAAAATCAGTCTATGGAGCAGGGATTTCTAAAGAAAAAGAGAGAATGCATCCAGTTTTTACTGTGGCACCTACCAGACAAGTGACATTATCAGCTGTGTAGGGCTTTCCATGCCAGCAAGAGATAAATTTTGACATAATGTTATCATTATGTTGTATTTGGGCTGTTTAAAAAATGGTTCTTCTTTTATTAATTTCTGGAGGTCCTTCTTGGATATCTAAGCCATTTTCTAGTTAGGTTTTTCTTTCCCTTGTCATGTTTCTGACAGACTAAAATTAAAATAGCCAATGGATCACCACCTTCTTTGAAATGTAGCCTGCAACAGTCGCTCTTCTGACATGATAATTTTGTGATACTTTATGCTTTGTAATCATCAGTGTCCATTCCTCTCTTAAGGATGCACATTAGTTCCTGAGTCTATGCCAGATACCTCCTTCTGAGAGAATTATGGGTTGCTGTTCAGACTTCCTTCCTTATTATGTGTTCTGCCGACATACCCTAAAACACCATGACTGATGAGATAACTTTTCCTTCAGCCCTATGATGTCTTCTACCAGTTAAAGAAGAAGAATGCTTTCCAGAACCCTCTTGGCAGTTCCAGTCTCCACTGGATCTGGATGGGTGCGTGGTAAACAAAGAGGCTGCATTTATGGCAAGAAATAAAGGGCATGAGTTTTGCGTGCTGATGGAACCATCTGTTCCTGGTTGTGTTTGGTTCGCACAAGCCAAGTCGATGCACGTTTACTCCAGGAGAAGTCCCTCTGCATACAATAGGCTTATTTCCAAGTACATGTGCATAGGAGTCCAGCCTCTCAGCCTGGGATTCAGCACAGAAATACACAACCCTAAGCCCATTGGTTTCCATGGGATTTGGGCCAGCTGGGGCTTTGCAATAGGATCATTGTAACTCTGCAGGAAGCTATGGCCACGCGTTTGCACTTTCAGCAGTTTTAGAAGTGGGATAACTATTGTGTGCTGCAATTTCATACCTCCTCCTGCAACATCTATACTTTATGTTTGCTTGACTTTAGAATAAATACCCATTTTTATTATGACACTTCTGCTGCCTGTGTGATTAAGTGCACTTAGGACTGAGCCCTGAAGAGGCCATGCTGTGTAGATTGATGTTTTTGTCGAAGAGTAAACAATGCATCATAAAAGCCACAAAAGGGTATTTGCAACTTGACCCTAAGCAAGTTTACTACCTACCCACTGAGTTCATTGGAAATCACTTCTAATTAAATCTAGCTAGGACTGTCACCTTAAACCTGAATCAGTCCTAGATTACTGCAAGAGCTAGACTGAGCTTCTTTGTTAACCTAACACATCTTTCCCTCACCATGCCACCCATAGTGTACCTTCCAAATCTGCCCCGGAGGGTTGAGGGACGTTCTGGTGAAGAACGGCAAGGCACTTAGGAGTTAGGAGAGGACACAGACATCCTTCTGCTAACAGCCTGTATACAACAAACAGCCTAACAGTCTGTGGACAACAAATCCAACCTCAATGTATTTCTCTGTCTTATATGTTCATTTTAGACTTTAACATACCACTGTGGAAGTCAGTGAGCCTAATTTAACTGAACGTATATCCCACAGAACTCAAGGTGGCATATATGAGGTTCCCATTCAGCTATGCATAGACATGCTTAGGTTTAACCAGTTTGCTGCATTGTGTGCACGGAGACTGCTTTTAGCCCCTTAGAAGACACACGGAGCTGGTAGCTACTTGGCACCAGACAGCTGGTTTTGTCACTTGTATGGTAAGCTGAGAAATGGATGCTTTGATTTGTTGATTTGCATGCGTTCTAGCCATTCGCCAGGCCAAAGCCACTTTTCTTCTTGCACACATTTAAATTAATCAATAAAAGCAATTTAACAGCAGCTGGCTTTGTTCTCAGGGAGGTGGAAATGCTGAGGGTCAGAGGAAATTAGCTATAATAAAACCTAGCCTCCCAAATTTGCTAGATGAAAACAAATGGCACTTATTTTAAGTGAGAACATATTTGGTTGTAATGCAGCAATGAGCAAATCACATCGATGAATCACTCATCACACTATTGAAACATGGAAACATTTAATATAAAAATTGCATCTCCTGTAGATAGAAAATCATTTTTGTTTAAATATCACACTGTTTGAATATTTTTCAGTGTCATGCAAATTTAAGTTGAAATCACTATTTTTCAGAACTTTACTTGCTGGGAAGTTGAGCCACTCAGGCACAATCCAGCCAGAGGGGTCTCTTACAATATTTGAACCATACCAGCAATCCAGATACCCAGTGAGAAAACAGCCACTTCACTGATCAATAATCAGGACAGTTAAGAAATTATGTTGCAGCATTTGTGGGAGTGTGTTTGTTTATCTATACAAATGGAATCAACTTGTTTTTCCAGTAGGTTACTTTACTCAGGGGTGTCGAGCCATTTTAGCATCAATAGTGCTTGCTTGGAGGACATGGGCCTTGAGCATCATTCAGAGATCCAAGAGTGAACTTCAGCCATCTCCCTGAATTATTCCTTCTTGTTCCAATCTGTAATAAGCCAGGAATGGGTTTCTGTGAATAGCTGGAAGAAAGAGCCATCTCTGGTTTCTGCCATTTGGAAGGCACCACTAGAGCTAGGAAATCTGTTGCTGAACCACAACTTCTTCCTCCACAAAACAGACATCCTTGTGCAAAAGGATGGGGCAAGGATTAAATGCTAATGAGCAGGAACGAAATGCCTCCACAAGCAGAAGGGGGGCAGAACAGAGGTGCCATTTTCTTCAGGGTACAGAAAGATGCACTGTATGATCTATGGTTTCCCCATTAATTAATTTAAAGCTCTGCTTCCCAGTTTCTTTAGGGGAAACATGCAAGTCACTGGCTGTAAGACTCACAGCCAGCAACTCACAGTGGTCAAAGCCATGAGGCAAGTCTGCACATGGAATCCATGCCAACCTCATTTGAATGCCCCATCCCCTTGCAGCTGAGCTACCAGAGGTTCAAAAGCCGCCTCTCTCCATTCCCAGCCAAATGAAAGATTAAGCACAGGAGTATGGAAACTGCACTGTAGAATACTTACTGTTTCCTCTGAGCCATTGCGCACCTTCTCATGCAGAAGCTGATCGAGGAAATTTGTCCTCTCCTCTTCAGAGGGTGATTCATCCCACCACTCCCACATCTCAGGGACTTTCTTGCCATTTCCTACTGCTGAGCTGCCTACTTTAAATCTCAACATGGTTCCCTGACTTCAAACCATGGGAGATAGAGCTGGCGACACAATGAACAAATCAGAAGAGCCACCTGGATTATGTGGCACTCTGCATGGCTGGTGAGGGACCGTTCTCGACATGGCTGTTTGTTGACGAACTGCTGTCATAGAAGCGGCACCAGGCATGGTTACTTGGCTGTCCAGGCTGCGTAGTCCTTTGGCGTTTGCCACTGGCAGGTTAGCTGGATGGGAGAGCTGTTGCTCAGGCAACACTTGACATCCAACACTAACATCCCAACAAAAGCCTTTCAAAAACCTGGGCGGGCAGGGATGGAACGCATTCAGAGGTGGAGGCCGGGCTGTTAGCTGGGCTGTTAATGTCAAGTTGCATTTCCCTGTGAGTGAATCAACACTTGAATAGAAGGAAGTTGTACTGGTGTCAAGAGCATTTTGGGGCATGGAATTATGATGTACACATGCCGCAAAGGCATATATCCTTGGCAATATAAAGGTAGCTCTTAGCCCATCTGAGAAGCATTCACTATTACTTGACAATGGTAACTGGACATTCAAAAGTCAAGCTTCGCCAGAGGTACATATTCATAATAAAGGAGGTATTTGCATACAATCCCTCAGTGCAATAGGTCCCTTCATATACGTATGTTCGAGGAGGCCCCGTCTCTCTCTGTCACCTAGAACTAGGGTGGGTAACCCCTGGCTCTCAGCCTAGTTTCAAAGGCCCTTTATGTGCAGTCAGGTTGAATCTCTGGAAGAGTGTTCTGACCCTTCTCTGGCAGCCCAATGGATATAAAAGAAAAGGAAGGGAGAGAAGGGAATGGAAGGGAAAGAAAAGAGTGGCAGAAAAAGAAATGGGGTGAACCACCCCCCTTTGGCTTTGTCCACTGTGGACATGACAGAGTATCCGCAAGGCAGGACAGCCTTCAATGGGGGAATAAAATCCCATCACGGTCTTTAAAAGCACAGAGCCTGTGCAGCACCATCTGTGTGCTTGTTTGCATATCATGCCAGGATATAGCATCCCATCCAAACATCCCAGAAAAATTCCCAATGTTTCCTCTCGTTTTCACCTAAGAGCAAGCCAGCCAACCACCCTCACCAGTTGTTACAAGTTGCACCCGGTGGGTGTAATCAGGTGAACTGGGTGGCATTCACAGGGGGTGCTAATAGGCCCCCATGGCTCATTAAGCGCCTTTGTCCTGTGTGAACTTGGCCATGTCTGAAACTGTAATAGGTATTTGACCAGATTAACTTCCACTGCTTGGGGAACACCAAGCCTTACTTACTAGGTTTTGCTGGCAATAAAGCATCCTTCCTTGTCAGCCTCCACCGCCTCAGCATGTCCAGCACCCTAATTCCAACACTGGATCCTCCCTAAGGGTACTTTCCCATTTGATGCTTACCCTCTAATCAGTGGCAGACAATAAGGGGGCAAAGAAAAGCACAGTGAAGGGAACTGATGGCACAGCCAAGGAATGCCACCAGCAAGAGGCCACAGTAATGTCAGCAAGACGTGGACTTAAATGCTATGTTATATATACATCTGCAACTGCACACACTTTTTTTTTTTTTTTTTTTTTTGAGAAAAGAAAACTGATTGGAGTACATACCAGGGAAAAGTCAGTGGCTGTGGTCATGGGAAACTGGATTTTGGTATTACAGTCAACAGAAGATTTGGGCAGGTAAAATTTCATCCTCAAATGCTGGGGATAAAGCCCCAAGAGCACCATGCATTTGACTCTGTAGGTGCTTCAGAAACACCAGCAAATTTTGCAGAGACTAATAGCATACTAAACTGCAGCGTGATTTCTATTGCTTGCTAGCATCAGATTGCTGGAAGGATTTTCAAGGCTATGCACGCTGAGATTCCTTATGATTTCAAAGCACAGCATCTTCCCTGGGTTACATGAACTTCCCTTATTCCTCAGTGTAGTTTTTAATCCTATATGGGCACACAGCTGAGGTGTTAGGCTCTCCTTCCAATTACAAAATGCTTCAATTCACTTTTTAATGCAAAATACAATCTCATCTATTAAAAGTTCCTTCATTTAAACAAAAAGAGAAGAGTTAAAAACATCCTCACTGTTTTGGATGGAACCATTTACTCTGCACAATGGTGTAATTTTGAAACTTGTGAGGAACAGAAGCTGTGCTTGGGTTGAGGGGCTCCAGAGCCTTCCTAGGCCCTCTCTACCTGTCCTACCTGCTAGCCATTATGCTCTGCACAAAGGTGATGTTTAGACCATGGCGATGCTCAGTCATCCAGCCTTTCAGTGAAAAGATAAGAAGAGACGTGAAGGTCAGCAAGCAGATAGACAGGGGCCAGAAGTCCAGCTTAGGCTTCAACTACTTGCCTGAATCCCTCTTTGATGAATACAAATCATCGGCAGTGTTCATGGCTAGCCTTATTAAAGGCTCCTCCAAGTGCAAAGACAGTTTTGACCCCTTGAAATACCAAAGTTAGAGGGAGCTCAGTGAATGTGGCACTGGAGTTCAGTGTGGGGGACCCTGGATGCATTCTGTGCCCCTGGAAATTCCTCTCCCACTCGCCCCAGCACAAACCTTTCCATTCTCCCTCTGTCTCGCCAGCCGCAGCTCATACAGTGAACTCCTCTCTTCAAAGGTGAAGTCATCTGTCTCGTATAAAAAACTGCTGGCTGCCTCAGAGGACGCCATAGCCTGCTCCACTCTTGCCGCAGTTGCTAGGCAATGGCTTAACAAGAGCCCCCAGGGAGTGGGAGATCATTCCCTCCATCCCCCACACCAACAAAGCTCAGCCTGCAGCAGCCCGGTAAAGGATTGGCCTTGGCATGGTTGGCCAGGTTCTGCTAGGAGAATAACAAGTCCAAAGCCAAACTCACACACACGTCAGAACCTTTTCCCAGGATTTACAGCCTTCTCATCACAGATGTTGAACTGAAATACAAATACTCCAGCAGGGGCCATGAAAACGTCGCAAAGAATTCAAACACCCTCGGCATTAACATCTGCTCAGTAACTTCTACCACGGCTGTGGACTTACCCTGGGGGTTCAACATGGCACACCAGCACAGCGCATGGGTTCTGCATTGCTTGTGCAGGGACTCCATCAGGGGCTTCTGGAGCATGCTTCTACTTCTGCCACAACATTATTTCTTGGTTCCCAGCAATACAGGATCCGCTTTCTGCATGGAACTGCTATTGCAGTCCTACCCTTCACTGATGATTTCCACACTACCAACTCCAAACCCTATCCCCACACTCCCAAATTACTGTGCAGACTTGAATGTGGTTGACAACCCTCTCCAGCTTGATTCCATCACCTAGACTACAAGTGATGGCCATCATGGGGCTCTAACCCTACTTAGGCATTCATTCATCTTTTATGTGGCAGGTGCTCCTCCTGCTTGTACATTCCCTCCCCTGCAGTCCCTCCAGGATCTGCTCTTGCACTTCTGCCTTCACTTTTCTACACCATTTCCATAGGAAACTTCATCAAACCACATTGCTCTGTGTACCACTCATATACTGATCACCCCCCGCTCTACCTTTCTTCCCTAGAACTTTTTCCCATCTTCCAAGCCACATCTCCCATGACTGTCTATTATTTCTGTCTATTGGATATTTCATCATCGTCTGAAAACCTTGTTGAAGTCCAGAGGTCTCTTCTTTCTTCCCAAGTCTTCCTCTTCTTTTATCCTCATTGTATCCACTGTTGTGCTGTTAATGGGGCATAAAGCAGGTGTGGCTTATCTTCAGTACCTCCACCTCCTTTGCTCCACCTAGTCCCTCAACAGGAGTGTGAAAACACTGCATCTCTTCTATGGCTTGTTGCTTAGACCACATGAGGCCCTTCCAGAGCCAACACACAATCTTGTCCTTACTTCCGAGATCCTCCATAGCCTCGTCACCCATATCTCCACCTCAAATCCCAGTAGATTCCACTCACTGATCTTCACTCTTCCAGTTCTGTCACCTTCAGCCATCCAAAAGTCTCCCACTTTCTCAAAAGATCCTGCCCTTCTTTTCTTGCTGCTACTTATGCCTAAAACTCCCTTTCCAAACTCCAGTGTGACACTGACTCTCTTTTCCATGAATGTGGATGATCTCCTTTAAAACATCTGCTAAGATGTTCCTAGCAAGAGCACCGTTTGTTGCTCAAAGGCAGCATACTAATAAGAAGGCTCAAGAAATAGGAAAGGTCAGAAAAGTTTGGAAGGAAAAAATATGCAGGTGCTTCTGGTAGCTCCAGGGAGGAGACCTGCAGGAACTGGAGCCACGAGCAGTGTAACTTGATGACAGCACTCAGACTCCAACAGTCATTAAGTATCATAAAAATTACGACCCTCTAATGGGGACTTAGTTTTGATCACAGGAAAGTATTCCAGGAGATGGACAGAGTTGCCCCTAGTTCCTCCTGCTCTTGTGTATTTTAAGCATGAACACGTTTCAGGAGAATGCTGCCATGTTCATTTCCAGCCAATCCATATCCAGAACGGAATCATGCCACCCCTTTGCGCATGCACTGTAGTAAACAGACAAGTCCTTGATTAAGGTACCCAATTCCACCCTTGATTTCCCAAAGCATTGACACTCACCAATCATTTGAGACAATTTTAATAACAAATAGATATGTAAAACTGAAAGGTCTGCAGAAAATAGAAAAGCTGGGATTATTGCATAGAGCAATGTTAGATTCTCCCATTATTTCCCTCCCCACAACCTGGTACCAAAATAACTGCTGTCACAAAACAGCGCATCCGCTCATCCATATCAGTTAAACTATCTCTGTGTAGAATAAATACATTGTGTCTAATACTCTCCTATCTGATCTTGCCCCCTCCCATTCTAATCCCACGGTCCACAAGGTCATGTTGCATCTTCATCCCCAGACAAGGCAGCGGTGTCACTTGGCATGCCTTGGGTTTGATAACCACTGATTGAGAGAAAAACCGTTGCAAAGCAAGCACCAGCCAAGCTTTCCAGTCATCCACAGATCTTATCCAAAGGGCCTGAGACCTTACAAGCACCAAGGGCTGCCCGCGCTCTTCCACGCCTCCAGGGGCAAACACAGACTGGCTCAGAAGCTGGATTCTGGCACAGTTATCCTTCTGCCCAGGGATGCTGTGTGGTACCTTGCCCGCTGGAAGGTGCCGCAGGAAACCCCCTCTAGAGCCAGTGGTGGTGGGTAGCCCTGCAAGGAGACGCTGTGGCTTGCCTTGGAGAGGGAAGTTGACCTGCTCAGCAGCCACTCGTTCCTCGCCTTGCTGCTGCAGGAGCTCTGAGCACGCTTGATGTCCAACTCGGAACGGCAGATCCGCCCATTGGGCAGCCCTTCTGCGGCACTACGGCCCAGGGTACTGTTTGGCCTGCTGCTGGGGATAGAACTCAGCATCCCGTTGGAGAGAGACGCCCGGGAGGATGCCATGGCTGACGGCATAGCACCATGCTGATCAGATTCGCCGTGCCGCTTGGGGTCCCTCCGCAGGAAGCCAGCTCTGAAGAGGGCCAGCTTTCCCTCTGGCTGCCTCTCGCCCTCCAGCTCCCTCTCCCCAGCACAGGGCATGGCCTTGGGCTCCGGCCCTGCCCTGCCCTTGGGCGGATGACTGGATGGGAGCAGGGCAGTCCCCGGGCGCAAGGCCCCGTTGACGTTTGCTTTGCCCTTGGGTTCCACGTCCCTGATCGGAGGCACCATGCTGAGGGAGAGCACCAGCTTCTTGGGTGTCCGTGGCTGCTCACCTGCATCCTCCTTCGGCTTCCCTGCCCTCTTCAGGGTGTTCGTGCTTTCCATGGCAGCAGGCGCTTTGCCAACACTCTCCGTGGTGCCCATGCCGGGTGGCACAGGGCTCGGCTTCACTTTAGCAGGCAGAGGCCCATTGTCTTCCCCTTCCTTAGTCATAAGAGGGACAATGGACTCATTTGTGAACCGGGGTCTGCGGCCAGACTCCAGGTATTCAATGAGCTCTCCAGAGGGCTCTGCTGGCCAATCTTTGGACGTGAAGGACCAGCGCAAGGGCATCGGCTTGGGAACGCCCAGCTTGGCCTTATAGGGGGAAGCTTTCAGGCTGACGCTCCTACCCTGGACTCCCCGCACCAGGGGCCGTGACTCAAAACCACCTGGAAAAGAAAGCGAAGGTTGCTGGCAGTGATTCTGAGGAAGGCAGTCAAATTAAATACGCTCCCACACAGGATTGTGGAAGCTTGCTTAATACAGTTGTGCTGTTGTCAAGGCTTGTATTTCTGGCCTTGAGCGAGTATTATGAGTCCTGAATTCTTCTTCTTAATTCAAGTCAAAGAATAACTCCACTGATGCCCTCTCTCTTCTGGCTCCTTTTCTCCCTTCTTCTTCTGCCCTTTCTCCCACTTATTAATCCTTCACCTTCCCTTCCCCACCTCTTATTTCCCATCTCACATGCCCGGTGGCTGACGTTACAGCAGGCTCAGGGAAATCACATGTCCCAAATGCTGCTTTTGCTTGGCCTGGCACTGGAAGAAGGAAAGGCATCCTTCTTGCTTGCCACCAATGCCAAAATACCAACAGCAACTGGTAAGCAGAGGAGGAGGGAATCGGGAAGGAATCAGAGGACTGGAGGGAGGGAGGCTCAAGTATTAAAGGTTCATATTCTTTAATACTTGTATGAAGCCACTGGTGGCGGTCGCTGGGGGACTGGGGACAAAAAGGCCAGCAGTGTGCCGATGGCACCTGGGTGTATTTCTCCTTCTTGTCTGGGTCAGGTGAGGCTCGCCAGGTGCCGAATCAGGGCATGGGGCCTGTGTGGCTTAGTGGTGAGATTACTGGGCTGGCAGTCCAGGACATTCGAATTCTAGCTCCCTCCTGGTCATAAACCTCCTTTGGTGACTCTGGACCAGTCACAGAGTCTGAGCCTAACCTACCTCATGGGGCTGTTGTTGTGAGGATTAACAGGAGCTCCATAAGCCACCCTGGGCTCCTGACAAGGGTGCAAAATAATGGTGGCAGTAGTGGCCGGATGAGTTGGTAAGTTGAGACAAAATCCCGACGAGAGAGAGCCTGTCCATGAGTGGCTCTTAGATCCAGGAATTGAACGATGGCCTTTTCTGTACAGGGCGGCATTCCCCAAACAGGCCGCTATGCTGACTGGGATACTGCTTGATCCAGCTTTGTCACTGAAGGCCCCGATGGCCACAGCGGCACAAAGTGCAGCAGCTACAACCATTTCTGGACAGAGACAGCTTAGGCTCAGTAAATCAGGCTCTGGTAGTGGCAACCCTGTGCTTGGATTATTGCCATACGTATCCTTTACATGGCACTGCCCTCGAAGATCTTGATTTTAGATTTGGTACAAAATGCAGCTGCCAGGAGGGAGACAGAGATGGCTGTCACAGGAAACAAACTGGCTTTCTATGTGTCTCTGGGCTGAATTCAAGGTGCTGTTGTTGAATAAAAGCCCTGAATGACCTAGGACTCAGGTAGATGAAAGAATGCCTCTCCCTCTACCACTCCATCTTCAATCTGTAGAGGGTGGCGGGGGGGGGGGCTGTCTCTTTCCACCACTGGGGGATCTGCATCACACGAAACAGGGCCTTCTTAGTGGTGGTGCCAAAAAAGATCCAATTATTCACGTGGGTATTAATGAATGATTAGCTTAGCTGCAAGCTAACTGATTTTATACACTTTTGTTCTGTTAAGGTAATGTTCAATGTTTCCATGTTAATGTTGCCCAACTGGAGATTTTTTTGAACGGTGGAATATAATTGGGAATAAGCAAATTCAGACTGGCCCAGAAATAAGTTGGGTTTGTGAAGAGAAATAGCTTGATTTATATTCATGTTAATCAACTCAAGATGGGAGGGGGAGCTTGTCCCTCACTTGCACACATGCTGAGCTGGACTAACAATTCACAGAGCTGGGGAGGATGGACAAAAATGCTCACAGAAAGTTTTTGCCTGGCAACAAGTAATGGAACCCAATGAAAGGTGCACCGGGATAAATACTGGAAGTACTGGAGTTCTAGTCATCACCAGGGCTGAACCTGTATGGCTTGATCTGAAGCCCTTAGGAGAAGGATGCATCCGCTGACCGGGGCTCCCAGGTTCGCAGGCTGCGTGCAGCCATTTGGCAAGGGGAGCAGCTCAGGGGCCTGCAACCCTTGCAACATTCACAGAATCTTCAACGGGTGGGGATCTGCTCTGCCAGGAGGTGGGCTGTATACTAGAAACAAGCCTATCTATGTAACAAGTACAACAGTGAAGATCACACACCTTTCTCCTGGCTGGTGCTGGCATCCGTGAAGACGGGCGAGTCAGGCGCTTTCGGCAGTGACGGACACGCAGCGGAGCTCCGAGATACCAGGCTCTCTCGCTTGCCGCTTCCACTGAACCTTGCTAGCCAGTGCTCAGAGACAGAGGAGCTGGTGGACCCTGCAAGGAGCAGACACCAAGTAAAAGGGCTGCGGGGATCAGCCCTCCCAAAGTCCCCGTAGCTGTATCAGAAAGGAGGTCCTGGCAGGTACTGGATGCCCGGCAGGCACCTGCTTCGCTTTGTTCTCAGCGCCTGCTCGAGACATTTTTTTAAACAAGACGCCTCTGATTGACCAGCCATGACTTTCTGGTTAAATATTTTGAGATACATTTTAATTTTGTATTTTGATTCTGCTTTCTTCTTTTACTGTTGGGAATCCTACTGGATGTGGAACAGTATATAAATCTTGCAAATAGATAAAAATAAAAGGAAAGGAATAATCCTTTCTGGTTTCACATCCTCATGTGCACTCACTGAGGGAACTCACAGAGTCCAACCATTCACTGAATGCCAAAGCAGCCTTTAGGCCTGAATGCATAGAAACAAAACTGATGGGATCAGAGAACTTTTGCAGAGCAGGAGATGGAGAATATGTGGCCCAGCCCAGATCCTGGTGGACTGCAGCTCCCATCAGCCCCTGGCAACATAACCAAGGATGAATGATGGTGGAAACTGACCCAACAACTTCTGGAGATCCACATGTTCCCCACCTTGGAGTAGAGATAGTTGAGCTGTTTTTGGCATAGAAAATGACAAACTAAACTTAGTATTTCCATAAATATCTGGAAATGGCCTGGATCATTTCCCAGCCAAGCTAAATTCAACCAAGCCACCTTCCCAGTTTGACAATTGGGATTGCTTACAGAACATGTCAGACCTCTTGCTGTCAGATGAGTTTTCCATAGGTAGAAAAGCTCCCTCCTGACTGGCACCAGGGGATCCCTAAAGGATTCTTTGTAAAATAGGATTCTCTGTGGTTTCTGAGAACGCAGCCTCTCCCGCTACTTGAGCTAATACAGCAACATTTCTATTAGAGTGAGAGGTTTAAAGAGGCTGCATGGGTGAAAACTGCTGGTACGTCTAGGAAGTGCAAGTGAACCCCCAAAGAAGACCCTTTGTCTCGAGGCTTTTTTGCCAGGGCTGCTCTTAATGCCAGCAAGGATGGTGGGAGGCAGCAAGTCTCCCGGATCACTGGCTGTCTTTGACGGCTGCAGCCAGAAGAGGTCCTGCAAGGGCTTCCCCTGGCTATTTGGCTACATCTGCCGACACTGTCCCTTGGGAGATTTATTGCACTGGATCAGTCAATAAAGGCTGAAAGGAGTGAACCTGGCAAGCATCTCAAGTCTCTAAAGGCTGGGATCCGGGTTCAAGTCCACTGGGTTCCCAAAGCACTGATAGTTCTTTGCATTAGCAGCACGCTCCTGCATGCTAGAGAGTTGTGCTGCCAAAAGGAACAAACCGACAAGGACCTCTCAGTTTCAAACTGAAAGAAAGCAAGCTCACACCTGTGTCTTCCCTATTCAGCCTCTTCCACCCTGGTTCAAGGAAAAAGGTTCCCCAGCAACCCATATGTTACATTCAAAACATATTCTGGAACAAGGTGTTTATTGTGTTGCTCTACCCTGCTCCAAAATGACAACCCTGGTATTAAAAAATAATTAAGACCTTACAAAAATGGATGCCATGCTATTCCTAACAGGTGCTCTGAAGCCTTGAAAACTAGAGGCTTGTGCTATGGGACTTGCTGTGAACTTGTATCAAGGCCATACAGGTTTGTCCACAGTCCCTCTGGTTTAAAGAAGGTCCGTGCCTCTTACTTACACTGGCATGGATCTCATGGCCCGTGCCAGAAAATCCACACCACGCCTTCTTAGTGCACATCATTTTGTCAGCAAATGACATGGGACTGGTCAACATTCAGAAAATAAAACAGTGCCACTGTGCAGGCTAAGCAAAGGTAGGTACCCTGCGAACCTCTCACAGAGTTTCCTTCGGACCAGCTTGGGACCACATTGTGCCTCTGGTAGAAGAGGATGTAGGCACCGCGTGTGCTGACTTCTTCTTCCAGGACGCGTTCCACGGTGCTGTCATCGTAGCTGTACCAGCGGCCGTCCAGGGCATTGCGGCAATACGCTGGGGACAGAGCAGGCACCACATCAGAGAACACACTGGAAGTGGGGCTGAGCTGCCTCCAGGTAAGGGGGCAACTTCAGCGCCACTGAGAGATCCTAAGCATCCTCAATGCTCTCTCCAGGACAGAGGACACTGAACGCATCTAACAGAAAGGGGCAGGAAAGTTCACAAGGGAGCAGGGAAATTTTTCAGCATCTGGTCGAGCCAAGCAAGTAGCAAAGTTTCTTCTGATCACAACCAGAATTAGAACTTTTTGCTCCCTGCCTGCTCCAAGGGCTTGTTAATATTCCACATGTCTGTGACTGCCTCATGCAAGCATACTGGTTACGGGGCACAGCATCCTAAGGGTTGCAGCTTTTTCATTTATTTATGTTTAAAAGCCCATTTCAAGCTCTGGAGAGAAGCTTGAAAATGTATGGAGAGTAGTCGCCGAAATGTCAGAAGCAAGAAAAGGGCAGAGAGACTTCCAAAGGGTGGAGCATGAATGCTTCAAATTTTCCTCTGTCCCTGCCCCACCATTAGTAGATGCAGAATAAAAATATGAAATATGCACATAGTTGTATATTCATTTAATTTTCCACCCAGGACTTGCAAAATTTTCCTGGGTGGAGTGTTTTGATTCCCCCCCGCTTGCACTTGGACACAGAAAAAGAGCCAGTTTTTGGCACAGGGGCCTGCTCTCCTGGAAGTTCTGGGCCACCCAATTCCAGACTGGGTGATGGATACCATCCAACAAGGGCTGCATGCTCACCCCAGATTCCAGCAAGCTCGCTGCTTCCAAGAGCATTTGCCCAGGTATACGGTAACTGCAGCGCTGCCTATTCGCTGACCACTCACCTGTATAATGTCCGCCCTGCATGCTGCCATGATGATTGCAGACGGCGTACAGGTCATAGAGGAAGTTACACTGGCCCCCTTCCATGGAGGTGTGTTTCCAAGTGCCCCACTTGCTGCCACGGCTGCGTTTGGCCACATGGGGAGCCATGTCAAGCCCACGCAGAGGGAAGTGCACCAGCGTGGAAAGCTTGTGCCGCTGCTCTCCCACCTGCCGGAACCGCTTCAGGTGGATGACGAGGATATCAGGGAGTGTCCACAGGCTGAGCTTTACCATGCCCTGCTGAAGCACCTGGCAGTGAGGACAGCGCCAGGCATCGTCCGGGGCCAGCTGCAGAGAAGAACACAGTACAGCCACTGGGAGCTCTTTTGAGGTGTCATCAGGGCCCCCGGAATCTTCCGGCTGGACAGTGGGCACATTTTGAATTTTGAGAGTATCCTGGGAACTCTCAGAAGATGCCTACCACTGGGGGGCGGGGGCCTGCCCATTCGTAACATGGCTTTCACGGTGGACATGGGCGACTGCAAAACACTCATTCCCTGAGGGCAGACTGCTAAGACTGAAAGACAAGAGACTTGCCCAAGTAGCTCGTAGCAAGTCAGAGGTGGGGATCTGAACTACAAAATCAGTCTTTCGAACCCAAATGAAGATGACATTGCAGAATGGTGCTTGGCTTTGCAGCATGCCAGCTTCCCAGTTTAAAAAAAGTTTAATTTAAAAATTAATCTTATGACATAACTAAAGTTCAGGAGGAGGAAGCAGAACAGCAGATGCCAAGAGAGGTATATGCAGTGCCAATGGCACCTCACCAGAGGCCCCAAGTTTAAACACGGGGGCAGAGATTCAGCAGTGCCTCCAATGGTGGATGAAGGCAGTGCTTGAGAGGAATGAGCCAGCAGCCCTCCTCTTCTGGAACTCCCGTTTGCCCTGTTCAACAGAGAGCAGGGCTGAACAGAACGCAGGCTGGGCCAAGCAGCTGTTCTGTTCAACTTTCTGTTCAGAAAGCCCCTTCTTTGCCACCTGCCGGCCATCAGGGACTCCCTCTCTCATAATACCAGTACCAGGATATTCAGACAAGAGCAAAAGAAGGACTTCTGCACACAGTAAGGAAATTACTCCCATGAGATGTAGTGATGTCCACTAATTTGGACAGCTTTAAGGAAGGGACTGGACAAATTTATGGAGCAGGTGGCTACTAGTCCTGATGCCTACATGTGATCTACAGGATCAGAGGCAGTATGTATATGTACACCAGTTGCAGGGGAATGTGAGCTGGAAACTGCTTTTGCACTCATGTCCCGCTGGTGGGTTTGCTGTGTGCGTCAAGAAGGGAATTGAACAGAATGCTGGTCTAGAAGAACCCTTGGTCTAATCCACTATGGGTCTTACATTCTGTTATCGGCCCCCCTCTAGTAATCTCCCAGAAATCCCTGGGTCTGATGAAGCTCTGTGGAATTGGTTCCTCTTCCATTCACGGACACCCTCTCATGCTTGGCTCTGTCCCAGAAAGTTTGCTGAGCAACCAGGGACCTTCTTCTGCGTCACACGCAGCACAAACAAAGGCTGCAAATCAGGCGTACAGAAGAGGGGCGACGTTTGAGCAGTGGTCGCATGGGGATCCATTTCTGGTGAGCTCCATGCAAATGCTCAGCATGCTTGCCAGGAAGTTGGACTCATGGCCACAAAAAGGTGGGATGGAATCCAAGGAGCTGAGACCAGGGAAACTGGGGGATTCCCACCCCAAAAGAGAATCCTCATACATCCCAGCTTGGTCCTTGCCCTGGGATACCTGCTCCTCCTTGGTGTAGAGCTGGAAACATTCATCCAGGGTACAGCTATGCTGCTGCTGATGAAGCTGCTGCTTCAGTCTCACACTCTCTGCATCCTCAACCACTTCTTCCTGGATGTTGCCAAACAAACTGCAAAGATACAGATGCACGAGGTCAGAAGTGCCCTAGTCTTGGTGGTGATTTCACTATGGAAATCACTATGGTGATTTCACTATGGATTTCATTTGGCTTCACATAAAGCAGACCCACTCAAGCAAGCTGTCTGCTGACCCAGTTCCCAAACTGAGTTGCTTGAAGCCTGAATAATTTCAGGCTGTTGCCCAAGAATGGGCAAAATGCCATGGAGTCCTAAGCACAAATAGGCAGGAAAGAAAATGCAATAGCACTTATTTTTCTGGGCTGTTTACCCTCAAATGGGAAGGCAACAGGAAAGTCTGAACTGGGCAAGCTTTTGCCTGCTTTCCCTTGGAAGTCAGACTTTTTACTGTGCCTCAAATTATGCCCCCTTCACATGCCAAATATAGCCACACCCTCGTTGATCACTTTATTATTGTTATATAATCCTACAAGGGTTTCAACTGGTACTCAGGAACCACACAGCCTGTATTCATAAGCAGTCCTAAAAAAGCAGGAGACCCTAAACCTAGATCACACAAAGGGAAGGTGTGGTGTTAAAACTGTTCCTGGACTGTGTCACAAATGGGACATTGCAAAAAACCTAGAAGTTAGGAGATGGGTTCACTTGGCCTTCCCCCTAACACTTATCTCTTTGATTTCTGTCCCACTTTTGAACCTTGAAGGAGCCCCAGGATGGTTCATGTAAAATAGCACAACAGCACTGAAACACAGCATTGCTCTGGAGCGAGTTTGCCTCCTCCTTTTCCTGCAGGATTGCAGGCCCCGCCACTCTCCAAGGACAGCCAGGGAGGACGGCTCGTCTTAAACAGTGGACGAGAGATTCCACTTGGGCCTGCTGTTACTGGGTGGGACGCTCTACTGTCAGGCTTTGCCCTGCTTACTCGCTTCCCTACAGGCCTGTGCTACTTTAGTGAACTATTTTCATTATAGAGAAGGTCTCTCTCTGTGTATACACATTATATAAAAATGCACGCATTGTTTGAATTTAAGGAAAACAACTGCATCAGAAGTCCTTTTGCGAGCCACACTGCACCAACGAGAAATGCTCAGTGGGTCTGACTATGAGCCAGATCATCGTCCACACGCAAATGGAGTTGCAATGCCCACACTCACCACTCTTTGGTGTTCACATCCCATTCAACTACCAGCTTCACGTGGCTGGGCCCCCCAGGGCCACTGAACTGCAGAGCTCTGAAGGAAAAAGACGCCATTAGAAAGATAGAGGGGAGGGAACATCACAGGTTCTGCCTTGGACACTGTAATTCGGATAGAAAGAAGATGGGAACTCCTAGGAGTGACCGAAGAACCCTGGGTTAGGAAGCATAAATTCAACAAAAGCAGTGTCTGAAAAGGAAGCTCCCTCAGCGTACAGGCACAGGAATGTATACCTACTTTAAAACACATATCATCAGTCCATGCAATTTTGTGTCTTGTGCAGATGCCGCTAAGCCAGCAAGGAGCTACATGGGGAAAGGAGTGGTACTTTTTTCCTTTTTCTTTTTACCTTTCCTTACGTGGAGGTGCCCACTGTCCTTTATGTTAAGCAGCTCAACTGTTTTACAGCGTCTTCCTCTTCCGCAACAGCATCCATGCTGACCTTTCCCTGTGGTTACTCTGAACTGTATGCCTGCAGGCTGCCCAGCTGATCCCCACAAAGTGCTTGCAGAGAACGAATTGCTGAGACTCCAGCGGTCCCTGCTATGAGGGCAATCCCACCACAGTTTTAAACAAGCAAAAGCATTTTAATAAAATGGAATAGGTCATGTTAGGAAATGCAATTGTGTTCCCCCCCGCTTTTTAAAAAGGATTCTCTTACAAATAATCTTACATTATGGTGCTTTCATGGGGGTTTCTTATGACTCCAGCCCCAAAGAATACATTATATAGTCATAAGGATCCTATGGTTTATACCCCTGAGGCAAGAACATCTTGCCCAGCTTCTGAGCTGAATGTGGATAACCAAATGGACACCTGGCAAACTTTCGCTCTCTTGTCCAAGGGCAAGGTGAGAATTGCAGCTGTGGAAAAGGGTGTCTCCTCTGCTGGCATCAGAGCCCGGCTACAACACAGGTCACCGGAGGAGGTGCCAAAGTCCTGCTGGCAGCTGGGGGCAGAAGCTGCACTGTATCTTCCCTGATCCTCACTTAAAGAAGCTGCTCAGGGGGTCCCAGCCTGTACATCCACCAGCGGGAAAAATCAGGAAGGTGGGAGGCAGATGACAGAGACACGCTGCTCCTTTTTTCAGATCCTCATTATGAGGATGTGATGAAGCTCCCTGGTGCTGAAAACGAAGTCCAAGACCGTCTGACTCAGGCTTCCCCAGCCTGGTACCCCCCAGATGAGTTAGACCACAAGTACAGGGAATAGCTGGTAGGCACCAGGCTGATGCAGATGAACAGAAGGCATCATCTTCCTGTTCAGCCAGGTTGCGTTTTACTTCCTTTTCAGAAACTGCCCCAAGCACTGCCACAACATGGTTGCCATGGGGGAAAGACAACTCATCACAACACAGAAATATCATGGCTAAAGGACTCGAGAGCAAGACTAGAGCAGCGTCTGAGCCCCAACAACTCCTGCTTTCAAGTGCCAAGAGAAAGCTGCTCACCGAAGACAAGACCTTTTCCACCCCACCCCACCCCTAGAGCTGGCTCATCCCCCTCCTATCTGTGTCTCTTTCCCCCTTGCTCCCTGAAGCAATCCCAACCGATGGTAAAAGAAAAGTGTTTTTACAAAAGCAGGAGCAGATGCCTGCCTTGGCAGGGACAGAAGAAAAGCGACTGGGCACACTGGTGCCTGCAGGCACCCCGCTGCCTTCCCCAGTAGGGCTCGGGCCTTCAGCTGGCTAGAGCGAGGCAAGGCCCCGGCGTGTGTCATGTGGCCTGGCCTGAACTCATTAAGCTGCAGTGAAGGATGCTGTCCCATTGCCAGCAACAATGTGTGAGTCAACCGCCCGTCCAATCCAATGACAGAGGGGAGGGGAGGGGAGGGGAGGGGAGAAATCTCCTTGTCCTTTGTCTCAGGCAGCGAAGTACCTTGGCCTTCAGTGATGGTGACAAAACACTTGGCGATTAAAATTCGTCTGCGCCGTGCCGAAACGAAAGTGGCAACCCAGCGGGAGCAGCCACTCAGTTCCTTCTGCAGAATCCATAATCTGCAGTGGGGCTCAGCCTCAAGGACAGGCCCTGTGCAGTTCGGTTCCAAAACTTGCCTCGTTCCAAATTGTCCCAGAAAGGTTTGCTATGAATCTGCCCCTGGAGTCCATGACAGAGCTTTGCCTCTTGTGTCTTGCTTATACCAGTCCTAGGGGCCATATTGTAGGCATTATGGAGGCAGATCCTACGAACAACATCCAGATGGTCTTGGGAGGAGCATAGAGCTGGACTGACCAAGACTGTCAACTGGAAAACATGGACTTCTATTCCCAGCCTCCCAGCACGGGCACGAACAGACGAAAGTGCCACAGATTGACTGTGCAAAGCTCAGCTGGGGCTGGGGGGAGAAGAGGGGTGGGTGGCTGAACAAACAGGGAAGGGTCTACAGTGTAGCAGGCAGCCAGGTCTCAGGAGGGGAGAACCCATATTGTGGGAGCTGGGGAAGCACACCTACACCTGACCTATAAGTATTCTACTTACTATCTTGGCTCAGTGTTTTAACACAGAGACTCATTAATGGAAGGCATTTTGTCAAAACCCAAAGCTGACAGTTGGGTGACCAACTGGGGCCGAGGCTCATCATGGTTCAGTCCCAGAACCTTTGGTTCTAGATGGCAGGCATCCTGTTTCCAACCCTGGCCAGCTATTTCAGAAAGCCCTCCTTGTTCTCCACTGCCACCCTCCTATCTGGTCTCCCACCTTGGAATGCATTTTCAAATGCTTGGGACTTAGTGCTGCAGAAGGCGAAGTAAGAATTAAAAAGCTGCCTTTGATCATGCGGAAAGTACCATCACATTTGCCATTGCATAAATACACACAGTCTATTACCATGAACCTGGAAAGAATCTGGGTGAGAATTGTTGTTCTCTATTGGCAAGTTGACGCCAGAGTCCCTCTCTTTCTATGGATTAACCACATAAAATAAAGCCTTTTTGCTGATGCACAATGATCCTGTGCTCTTACCAGCAGCAGCCTCCCGACTACTACTTATTGCAGGGCTGTAGAGTAGATCCAGACAGTCCCAGCGGAAGCCACAAACCCCACAGATATGCAGAAGGCACGTGCTTTCATGCGAGGGACTTGGGCGCAGGAGGCCTGTTTACAGGACCAGGGCCAGCCTCGAGCACCCGCACCCCCGAAGGGCAGGTGCAGGGGCAAGCCAGGCCGTTTGCCAGGACCGGCTGCTCACACAGACCAGGCAGCAGGTAACATAGGGAACCTTTCCCCACTTCTGTCCTTGCCACAGGCATCCTCATTAGCAGTGGGCCTATCACACAAGGCCATCACCCCAAGGCACCCATCTCGAGCTGTGATGAGACTGTTAGGCTGTGCATATGGCGAGGATGCCTCGGATGCTCCTTCCCTGGCTTCGTCAGGGTCCCCCCCAACACTGCACCAAGCTCCCCAGTGGGGATCCCCAACAAAGCTCCGGTATCGACCGTGAGCGATATCATTGGGAGGCGCAGTGGCACAGTGGCAGCACCTGATGCATTCCCTGCTTCCTGAGGGCACTGTCTGTGCCAACATTATCTTTGACTGGGATCCAGCTGGCAGCAGCAGGGCATTCCTAATTCACTGAGCTGCCTGTGACGTGTCCGTCCAGCACTTATGCACATCCAGTGAGGCTCAGCGCACAAGGAGCATGACTACAGCTGCGGCTGCTAAAGATTGCCAGGTGCAGTGTGCAGGCACCTGGCACAGCGAGAAAGCTGCAGAAAGAAAGGGGCTGCCTCGCATCCACTCGGTAACTCTGCTCAGCAGAGGCCACGGAAATCTAACTACAATGGCCATCCCTCTGATCTGTCAGGCCTAAGGATAACTATCGTGGAACCACAATGTTTACACAACCACCCCTTTCTGGGCATTCTGAACTTCTGCCTGGCTCTGTAAGTCTAATGTGGGACACCGGCTATGCTGGCTGGGGATGATGGGAGTTGAGGACTGACACATCTAGGCTATAATAACCATATCAGCAGACAGCATGGGAGCTAATGATAGCACTGAGTTCCTTCCTCAGGAGCCCTTTCCGAAGGAGATTAAGAGTGGCTACCCAGGGAAGGGCCTTTTCTGTGGTAGCACCCCAGCTCTAGAATTTGTTCTCCAATTTCTTTTTATTTACCCAGTATTTTAAGGATTGATTATTTTACCATATAGCTAGAATTATTTTACTGTATACTTTTATATATTATATTCTTATTTTAATGTGGTGTTGCACTCTGGTTTTAAGTCATCTTGAGATCCGCTTGGATAAAGATGGGATAGAAATGCTTTAAATAAATACATACATAAATGAAGCACAGAAACTTGAAGCATGTGGTGTACAAGGTCTGGTTCTGGAGGCACTGAAAGGGAAATGTTGCCCAGACAGTGTATGAGCCCAGCAGACTCCAGGACAGAGGCTGGGATGCTAGCCTGGGACAAGGAATGGCTGGATGGGAGGAGAAAGCTTTTATCCTTCTGCTGATGTTGACATGATACTTGTACATACTAAAAGACTTGCTCCCTCCTTTCATTTCAGCACAAACTCTTTAGGTCCTTCGAGGGCTTGAACAGGCACCAGTCACTCCACTGGAAGCTGTACCAGCTTTGAGACGGGCAACGCAGTTTAGCTTGCAGGGTCAGGTAGATCCCAGGTTCAATGAGATGCTAGATCTTCTGGTCCAGTTGTTACATGCAACACATTGTGAGAAAGAGCATGGAAAAAGCAGAATGGGCTTTCTGACTTGCTCCTCTTCTTAACGTTAGTACAGGTTCCACTGACCCTAGTCGAAAAGGGCTCCGGTGCTGACGTTAATGCACCAGGTTAGATGACAAAGGAAAAAAGTCTGTTTGCTGCCTCACAGTTGCCAAATGCCCCTACCTCATGGAAGTTGCTGAAGCCTGAACATCTTCCAGAAGCATTCCTCTTGCCTGTTTATGGGAGTTATGGCTCATCTTTAGAATCAGGTGGCCTTTTAACATGGTGTGATTTTTAAAAAATGTCTTATTTCAATGCAGCACATTATGGTTGTGCAAACTGCTATTTACTCAAAGGACAAGGCAGCTTAAAAATAAAAATCACTGCAAGAATGATGCATCAGTACTGCCTTTCCCCACAATACAAGGAGCAGAGTGCTCTTCCTGATTCCTGGGCAGAGAAGGGTCAGCAGGCAGAGGAATTTATTCAGCTAGACAAATGGTGAAGGAAGCCACTGGGCACAATCCTAACCTTTCTTTTCTGCTCTTTGATTACAGGTTCCCTTCAACCATTCATTTCCCCATGTTTAATCTCTTACCTGTCCACAGCTGGATGGTAGAGAGGCCAGCTGTCCTGACGAGAGAGGTAGCTGCACAGTGCAGAGCCGCCAACAACTCGCACCTGGAACAGACTCTCAGTAGCCTAAAAAGAGAAAGGGGGAGGGGTGGAGAGGGGATGACCCAAAGAACCTCATGTTATCCTCTCCCTAGAGGCTGGGGATGAAGCACACAAAGGGGGAACCAATGGAACAGCTACACTTTGGGAAGAGCACTGGGGTTCATCTTTTGTGCCACATATCTTTTCAGAACATATCAAGGTGTTTCCAGCAGAGACTTAATGATTATCTTACTAAAGTCAGTTGACACAGTTCCTCTGTAAAAATATATTGTCTGTACTACACAATACTCATCTATCTCCAGTTGGGAGTGCCTAACCTTCACAGGTGATCCAGCTGTGAGTTCCTGACATATGTGATCACAGCAAAATAGACACTCACTGAGGGTGTTCTGCAATTAGTTTGTAACAACCACTGATCCATGGGCTTATAGAACGCTAAAGCCCACAGAAAAGCCCCCCCCCCCGCCACGCACACACACACTTGTGCTTTGCATGTATAGAGTTGCCTAATGCAGAATTCCTCCTCTTGGGGGCTCATCTTAACATGGTAAGAGTGTTTGAGACCATCAGAGGAGCCAAGAGCAATGATACCAGGAGGCCAGGCTCTCTCACTAGGGTGACCCTGCTAGGAGACCAGCCAAGGCAGAATGGTCAAGGCTGAGGCAGCAGACTAAGATGCGGCCGTCCTCCTCAAGAGTAATGCAAAAGGAGGTCACATCAACAGGGTATCTCCAATGGCTATGGGTTGGAGGAACTCCTAAGGGCGGTCACTGGGCAGCAGCAGTTGTTGAAGGCAACACTGGTGGAGGGCTTTTCATGGACAATGACAGTGACTCTCAAGCTTTTGTGCAGAAGAAGGCGATGGTAAACTACTTTGGATATTTCTCATCTTTTTAACCCTACGATGAAACAATCCAAAATGAAGCAAGAGAGTGCCAGAAATAAGACTTCTGGGTTGGAAGGCATTCAACAAGCTACTGGGGAAGAACAAAGGCCAAATATGAAGAACAAAGGACAAATACAAATACAAATAGCACTGTCACTAATGAAGCAACTTAATCAAAGCCAAGAAGTCTAATGGATGACAAGCAGGGAGGTGAAAGGAAAGTCTGATGCTGCATTAACACATACAATTGGAGCTTGGAATCTGAGAAGGATGAATCAAGGCCAACTGGAAACCATAAAGCATGAAATCGAATGGTTAAACACTGCAGTACTGGGCCTGAGTGAACTAAAGTGGATTGGAATGGGACATTTTCAATCAGATAAATACAAAGTGCTTTACTCTGGAAACAACAGATGCAAAAGAAACAGAGTGGCTGTAATACTGAGGCAAGGCATAGCATTGAATCATATCAATCAGAATTCTCAGAAAATCTATCAGCAGAACCATTATTCAAGTCTACACTCTTAACAACAGATGTTTCAGATCAAAAGATGTTATGCTGCTGTCCAAGAGGAAATTGATAACACACCATAAAAAGTCATCTTAGGTTGACTGAAGTGCAAAAGTAAGAAACAAAGTAGAATAAAATGTCATGGGAGAATTTGGCCTATGGGTCAGAAACAAATGGAAAATGACTCAGAATTCTGTGAAGTCAACTATCTGTTAGTAGCAAATACAAATGTCAAGCAACCAATCAGACATGGCCATTTCCAGGTGTCAATACAGAAATTAAATAGACTAACTGGAAGCAGAAGATGAAGAAACTGTATTCTCACTGCCAAAACATGTCCAGGAACAGACTACAGTAGTGATCGTGATGAGCTTTTAAAAGCTTAAAAAGATATCCAACAGAAGCACAGTGACAAAATACAACTGAAACAACATTCCTGAAGAATTCATAGTCCACAAAAGAACATATTTTTATTACTGAGCTCAACTGACCATGAACTTGAAGATGTGTAAACTGAACCCAGAGACATTATTGAAAAAGAATGCAGACAGACAATTCCAGCAACAAAAAGATGGCTGACAGAAGAAACCCAATTGTTAAAGACACAAAAGAAGCAAAAGCAATTGTGAAAGAAATAGGAACAGAATCCTAATACAACTTTTCAGCAACTATCACAAAGAGACAAAAAGAACTATCATCACACTCAGTACAGAGAAATAGATGAGATCAATGCAAGAGGATAACCCCCCCCAGGATCTTCTAGAGGATTCAAGAAATCAAAGGGAAATTCAAACCTAGATTAGGAATGCTGAAAGACCAACAGGGGAACACACTTATTGGACCAGGATAAAATAAAGAGAAAGGGGAAGCAATATACGGAAGAACTATACAGAAGAGATAAAAGGATGTGAGACTCCTTAAAAAGGAATCCTGTAAGAATCTACCATATTAGAAAGTGAAGTAAAAGGAGTTTTGAAAGCACTTGAAAATTATAAAGAACCAGAGTAAACAGGGTATCGACAGAACTGCTTCAAGCTTCAGAGAGTGAATTGGTCCAAATCCTCATAAGAACATGCCAACAAATATGGAAAACAAACAGTGGCCCACGGACTGGAAACGTTCAATATACATTCCTCAGGAAAGGAGACAGAAAGAGTACAGGACCATTGCATGAATTTCCAATGCAACCATAGTGATACTCAAGGTATTGCAACAAAGAATTTAACATACATGGACTGAGAAATGCCTGACATTTAAGCTGGGTTCCAAAAAGGAAGAGGTACTCCAGGTCGTATTGCAAATAAAGATTGCTACTGGAGCACACTAAAGAATTTCAAAAGTTGGGTCTATACTTTATAAACTACAGCAAAGCCTTTGACTGAGTGGATCATGAAAAGCCATGGAGGTTTCTAAAATTAATGGGTATTCCTTATGTTTGTCCTGATGGATAACCTGTATAAAGGACAAGAAGCTGCTGTTATGACAGAATATGGAGAAACAGAATGGTTTCCTACTGCTACAGGCATCAGGCAAGGGTATATTTTATCTTCCTATATACTCGGTCTGTACGCAGAACATATAAGGAAATCCGGATTATGATCAGAGGAAGTGGGAACAAAAATTGGTAGAAGATAATCAATAACTAATGATATGCAGATTATAACATATAACTGGCAAAAATATTTATTTCCATTTCTATGTCACCTCATAACCCGAAGCAATGAATTTAAATAAACCCTGAAAAAAGTGAAAAATGAAAGTCCAAAAGCAGGTCTGCAGCTGGTCATTAAAACCAGCAAACAGTACGATTACAGAAGAATTACAGAATTTCACTGTCATTGATGAAGAAATTGAAATTGTGAAAGATTTTGCTTGCACTGGCTCAGTCACCAATTCAAATGGAGACTGCAAGCAAGAAATCAGAAGGAGAATGAAACTTGGAACATCTGCAATGAAAGAACTAGAAGAAATTATCAAGTGTAAGGACATTTCACTGGAGACCAAAGCCAAGATCATCTACATTATTGTATTCTTATTCATCCTATGTGGGTGTGAAAGCTGGACAGTAAAGAAAGCTGACAGAAGAAAACTGATGCATTCAAAACATGGTGCTGGAGGAGAGTTTTTGCAAATATCCAGGAGTTACAGACTAACAAGTAGATTGCAGATCAAATGCAAGCCAGAACTTTCCCTGGAAGCTAACATGACAAACTGAAGCTGTCATACTGCAGACACATAAAAGGCAGGGAAGACTCACTGGAGAATGCAATAATGCTAGGGAAAGTTGAAGGTATAAGACAACGACCAACTGTGAGTTGGACTGATTCCATCAAGGCAGCCACAGCCTTGAGTTTGTAAGCACTGCGCAGAGCTGCCAAGTAAGGGCATCCATTCATGGGGTCACCTAAGTTGGAGAGTACTTGACAGCACATAACAAGAATGCGGAGTGAGATGCAAAGTGCCAAGGATTGGCTTCAATCACTTTACAGTAGTTTCTCAAGAGCTCATGGAAAGTGGCCCTTCTCAGCCCTGTTACCCGAGATCCTTTTTCAATGGCTACCTTGAATTTTGGTGGAATGGCACTCTCAGGAGTCATTCCAGTACCTGGGGGTCTATCCAGAACACATGACTTCCTACACGGAGTCAATTTCTACATAGCAGTAGCAGTGTACTAAGCCAGTAGGCTGCTCTGGGTGAAGATTTTGCCCACTATTCCTACCATGCCCTAAACACACATTTTGCCTCTTTCCAGAACTGCTGTAATTCACTACTATGGAGGGAGAACAAGGTGGACATCGTTGCACAGGAACAAAATGAATCCATGAACTGGATTGTGTGACTGCCAGAGAGAGAGAGAGACCTCACGGAGTGGCTGGGTGGGATCCTTGCAATATGCAGAACTTCAGAAGAACCTGTTCTTGGCCCAGCCCATTATGCTGTCAGTAATTTACATAGTGGATAGTAAAGCTCAGAGCCCCATGATGGATGATGGCCCAGCACTAATATTCCTGAACATCTAGTGCACTTAGTGATCCCTCAAGAATAACTTTGTACAATTAAAGCAGCTAAAGTATGGGAAAAGATTAGAGGTTTCTTCAGTTCTTTCAATGCCTGTTTATAAGTGGAACAGTGATTTTCGTTTTCATGCAGAACTAGTTGATTGCCATTGTGAATTAATTAATCTAAAACAAAGCATGTGAGCCTGATAATAAACTCAAAAGAAAATTACATGTTCATGTGGGCAGATGGATCCCATATTACCACCACAGTCTCCATCAGAAAATAGTTTCACGTTCTGCAACCTTTTCCCTGATGCCAGTTGCAATTTCCCAATTGTCATACAAATGGACTAATTTACTCCTCCCTCCCACTCTGTAATGCTGTTTTGTCATTAAAACCAGCATATGATTAGCCAATACATTCTGGATTTCATTATGTTTTGTGTCCAGCTCCCTCATCTTCTTGACAGGGACTGTAATGAGACCTGACGAGGAGACAAATATGAATCCATTATCCTGACACCATTCAGTCGCACAGTTCTCAGACATCAGGAAGAGTGCTATCCCCCGAACCCAAGTACCGAATGCATCTACAACATGAAAGAAAGGAAGGAACCCACACCTGCCT